CGAACATCTTGATGATCCAGCTATGTATCGTTCTTTATAAGGAGTTTTGTGAAGTTTTGGTATCCAGTATAATGACGGTAGATTTTCTTCGTTTTCTTTGATGTTAATACCAAAAGAAAGAAGCTTTATAAATATAATGGGCATAAAAATGGGAATTCAAAGTTATAAATACAAAATTAAACATCTTAATGTATAAAAAAACAATACTTATGAAGGACGGACAAATGGACTGGTATTGATACAATTTACCAAGTCTGTGTGGTATTATAAGATATTAGACCCAATGGCATTGCATGATTATAGCCCTATTCACCAGCAAAAGAGACCCGGGTCAGTCATGCCAATCTAGTTTTTTTTAATACCAATAACAAATATTAATTATCATATAATTGAAGAATAATATGAACGTCTTCGTAGCATTAGATCTTTCACGATTCTTTTCACGATCTTCAAAAACCGGTACGTGATCTTTCACGATCCGAAATATCAATTTTGTGTGAATATTTCTTTTTTTACCAAGTTTCAGATTATGTTTATACAAAATAACTATGAGAACCATTTGATGCATTCAAATAGAATGCCCTTTTTCGAAGAAAAATAGTTTATTTTGTTGGAATTTGTGAAAAAATCATGTTTGTTTACATTTTTGATGTCACTGAAATGTCGAGGAGCAATATGCCTTTTGTTGTTTTGTAAAAACTATGTACTTTAAGAACTGGATTTTCTCACATACTGATCATAATGTTCAACCATTTTGACAGACAGTTTTATTTTGTTGTAAATTTGTCCGTGTAATTAATTAAATTAGATTAATTAATGACTTTTCATATGTCTTCTCGATTAAATTTCTTTCACGATCCGGTACCAGAGCTTTCACGATCGTCTCGCAATAGTTGACCTCCGTTAGATATTCTTCTCTTCATTTCTCTCGATAAACCGAATGACACCCGTGTTAGCGAGTACACACACATTTTGTATTCAGACAATGTACATTTATTGTTTATATCCTACAATAATTAATAACTGGCGCTTTAAGGTTCGTGGCATATAAACTCTTATGTATTTAATTATTTTGAAAACAAAATGAAAATAATGTCTAATGAATAACCATGATGAAATAATTGTTTTTTCCATAATTGAATCGTGCATTATGTGTATTGGATGACTTAGTTGCCTTCTTTCTAGTGCTATCTATTTTGTTTACTGACAAATGACGAAATAATGCAATAGTTAAAATTAAATATTTTACAAAACTTTGTCACGATTAAAAAATTAAAACCGACTGAATGAATTAAAATATGAGAATTCAATGATTATCGATGTCGAAATTAGCCGTCGGTAATAAACAGTCAGTTTGTGTAAAAGAAATAGCTACCAAATTTGTTTATTATGTATGTACAAAGTATATGTATATTGTATATAATCAGCCCTTCTGTATATTACTTGTTTTTATAATTGATTCAACAAATTTCGCTTGTCCAGGTGTCAATAACGGTGATGTTCACACCACGAGTAGTGAAAAATGACACAATAACACAGCGATCGATCAATAATATAAGTAAAAATTGCGTGCCGTATGCTGAATGTCGCCCCTCCTCTGAAAAAGGACGCTAATTTTTATGTAAAATCTCGCAAAATTATGACCCATATTTTGGCACATCCCTGTTCACCCAATAATAGGAAGTGAATTCGTCACCATCATGGTTTCAAAGAGAAAGTAAAACGTTAAACGCCGGATTGTCGTCCAATTAAAACACTCGTTACATTGTTCTTTTGTATATTTAGAATCCGAGATAAACCTAGAATTTCTCGAGAAATGAGATAATTCATTATCTGAAATTGAGAAAATTAATTATCTGGAGATAAATTAGGATTATCTGAAAATCGATCAGAAAAACCTAGATTTTCTTAATATTTTGAGATAAACCGGGATTTTCTCCAGATAATGAATTTTCTGTATTTTCTGAGATAAACTAGGATTTTCTCGAATTTGAATTAAGCTGAGATAATCTTAGTTTATCTGAGATAATCCTAGTTTATCTGAGATAATCTCAGATTAATTAATAAAAGTGGTTCAGGCGTGCCATATATCTGCCTTGAAATTTTCAATCAGACAACCCATAGTTGGGTTGCTCCCCCTGAATTGGTAATTTTAAGAAAATTTTGCGGTTTTTGGTTATTATCTTTACTATTATTATAGATAGTGATAAATTGTAAACAGCATTAATGTACAGCAAAGTCAGATCTACAAATAAGTCAACATGACCAAATGGTCAATTGACCCCTTAATGAGTTATTGCCCTTAATAGTCAATTTTTAACAATTTTTTGTAAATTTTTGTAATCTTTTACAAAAATCTTCTCCTCGGAAACTACTGTGACAAATTTAACCAAACTTGGCCACAATCATCATTAGGATATCTAGTTTAAAAAATGTGTCCGATGACCCCGCTTACCAACCAACATGGCCAGCATGGCTAAAAATAGAACATAGGGTAAAATGCAAGTTTTGTCTATTAATTTTTGAACCGTTATAAATACAGAAAATCTCAAAGGATCAAAAATGTTCAGAATAATGAGCTCAACCAATTGTCCATATACGTCAAAACTGTTAGACAAATTCTTATTGGAGTTATTGCCCATAAATGACAAATTTTATCATTTTTTTTCATTTTTATACGACCGCAAAACATTTTTGCGGTCGTATATTGGAATCCGTTGTGGTCGTCGTCGTCGTCGTTGTCGTCGTCCGAAGACACTTGGTTTCCGGACAATAACTTTAGTTTAAGTGAATGGATCTTTATGAAATTTAAACACAAGGTGTGAAATTACAAAAGGAAGGTTTGGATTGATATTTGATATTATGGTCCTAACAGTTTAGTAATTAGGGGCCCAAAAGGGGTCAAAATAAGCATTTTTCTAGTTTCGAGACAATAACTTGTGTTTAGGTGTATCAATCTCTCTGAAATTATACCACAAGTTTCTATACCACAAAGGGATGGTTAGGATAGACTTTGGGGAGGGTTATGGCTCAAATCATTTAGGAATTAGGGGCAAAAAAAGGGGGAAAAACAAGGGTTTCCCGGTTAGTGGACAATTAAGATAATTTAAAAGCAGTGTGAGGGAGGTAATCCAATCACATTTAAAGAACAATGTTGTGCAATTTTGGATTACCTCCCTTACACTGCTTGTAAATTATGTGTAATGAAATTTTGTATTGTCTTGAGGTGATTAGCTGTCAATTTAATTAGCAGTTACTATTAATTAATACTAATTTTAGCCATATGTCATTTTCTATTTTAAGACTTTTATGATGTATTAAATGGGTAATTATGGTTGCAAACTTCATTAGAAATTTGAATTGGGACTATGACTATATCTTGGGGGAATGAACATTTTTTTGGGAAAAGGGGGAGGGTGGAAAAAATTAGACGGGGGGGGGACATTTTTTTCTCATTTCAGATTTCAGAAATAAAAAGGAAAATTTCAAATATTAATTTTGTTTTGCAAAAAAAAGGGCAAAAGGGGGGGGGGGGGGGGAGGGGGGGGGAGGGGGTAAAATTTTTTTTTTTGAGGGGGGAGGTAGGAGGTTGGGTCAATACGCAAAATCCTAGTGTATTGCACAAAAGCTAAGTTCTTTGACTACAGTTATTCTGTGTCAGAAACCTATTATGTGTCAAATATTTAATTACAATCCAAATTCAGACCTGTATCAAGCGCAAATATTGTGTCCATATTTTCCCCAACTGTTCAGTGTTAGACCTCTGCGGTCGTATCCAGCTGCGCTCAGCGAAGCAATTTATTGCCTTTTATCATGAAAACTATGATATTTAGATAGAAACATTTTTTTTCCGTTATGCCTTATATGATTTAATTTACGATAGATAAATAAACACTTTAAATCACAAAAATTATCAGCAAGGCAAGATCTATTCAAAAGTCAGATTTTGCCGATATAGTCAGTAGACTGTCACACACTCTTCATAGGAGTGATTGTCCTTAAATGAGGTTTTTTTTACCCTCTTTTGTGTTTTGAGCAAAAACTAAAGAAGATAGAGAGAAATTAAACAGACTAAAACATCAATAATACAGGATCAACAAAATAGAGATTTTTGTCATCAAGTCTATTCTTGTCTACAAAGTTGGAGAGTGTCCTTTGTTTGATATGCACATAGACCAAGGTGAGCGACACCGGCTCTTTAGAGCCTCTAGTTTAAATATGCCTGAAAAGATAAACAAAACTAAATATTTCAAACTGAAGGATGAAGCATAAAATATTAATAGATATGAAAGAGATAAAAAGCATTGATGGGATATTATTTTTTGAATGGTGAAACCAAGATACAAGCTTAAATCATGCTCAGAAGACTTTGGGACTTTTTTGCAGTGTTTAAAGGTTATTTTGAAAAGTTTATGAAAAAGTACTTGCAGTTTACCATTGATATTTGATATGCTTTTGCATTAGCATCCATGCAGTTCAGTTTCAAGCAGGATATAATATTCTGGATAATCATGGGTGAAATCTTTGCAGAAAATAGTATTTTTTGACAGTATATAAGTCAGATAATGCATATTTTAAATTTTTTCTGGTTGCATAGCACACTGATGGATGTCAGGATTGATCAAATGAAAGACCGATCATAGAAAGGTCCTGCTTTGGACAGCCCTGACATCCTCAGACCTGCCATCTTTTCAAAACCTTCATGGGGGATTTTAACCACAAGAGAACCTAGTGCATGTTTTGTACATGCATAAAGTATATTTGGTAAGATATACTATGATTTTTAAGGAGTATATAAGTACTTAAATGCCATTAAACTAATTTATTTTCAGGTATTAAGTTCACATAATAGAGGATTTAGATAGTCAGGCTACCCCCCTCCCCCTTCCCTCCCCCCTATAAATCGTGTTAATTGGCTGGTCTGCATCCCTTGGTGTTTTATATGACAAGAAATCCTTTTAGAGTGGGTTTATCTAGAACATATTATTAAAATTTTGCAGGAGACATGTATACGGCAGTAATTCTATTCAGATCCATGTGACACCTATAATCACATTACTATTCAAAGAGGTAAGATTTAAACAACTACCCCAAAAATAAATTCAAGGTAATTCAGCATGAAATAACTTCAAGGTAATATTTCATAACATTTGAGTTTAAATCATAAATATAATAAAATGTACTGTAATTTATATTCATATGGGACAAAGTATTAACACAGATAGTATACTTTGGCTTTTAACTAGATCAGTTTAATAAAATCATTAGAATAATATAGTTTTATTCACTTTTTTTATATTAATCTATTATATACAGGTCTGCCTGTTTGATCTTGGTTCTTGCATGTTACAATACAATAAATTTGCATACGAAATATTAAGAAAAGTTCTTTCTTTTGCCTCATTTATATTTATGATTTCAATTGAAGTTGCTTCAAGTAAAGGTGGTAAACAAATGTTTAGTGAAACATGTGACTCCTAATGACAAAATTATTATGTTAAAAAAGATATACATGTAGCTAGGATTGATTTCTGAGGTGAAGAAGGATTTTTTTATTACTTATTTTAAAAGCTTATACAATTTGATTATTGGATTTGTTGTACGATATACTTCATATCCCATGTTCTTTCTTTACAAAGTTATTATTTTATTAAATGAACTTCTGATTGGCAATCACATCACATCTCCTTATTTTTATGTTCACAATCTGCAAAATATCAAAGTTTGCTCCAAACAAGCAAATATATGATATGAATAAGAGGAGATGTATATTAAAAAAAATGCTTGCAGAGAGTTTTGTTTTTTAAATTACAAATTTCATGCAGTCTATATCCTTTGTTTTAACATTCCAACATTATAACATGTAAGAGGTCCATCTTTGACCTTTTATTATATAACTTTCTTATGTATCTGTCCAAGATAGTATTTATAAATTTAAAGTGATTAAACTGGTAAAGACCAGGTTTCCCTTCTTTAGGATTGAAATGCAAACATTCACCAAATTTCACGTCGATTTATATCCATGGTTTATATTCAAGAGACAAGACTGGAATATTTACTTTTACTGTGTAGAAAGAATTTATATACACAGTATATTTATTATATCATCTTAATGTCAAAAATGTTTTCACATTTATATATTTTATTTTTAGACCACCTAGTCAAATAATGAGATCTTTATACCCCTGCAAATAATTTTTCGATGTATACAGGAAGCCATTCATCCGTTCATCTGTCTATTACAACTCCTCCTAATAGGTTGAATGAATATAAATGAAACTTTTCACAGTTATAGAACACTACCAGATGATGTGCATAAAGCATATTAAAGGGGAGATAATCAGATTGCCAAAGTGGTATCCTCTTGTGATTCACTGACAGTTCTAGTTAATTATAGATCAATCATCTGTCTGTCTTCAAACTTAGTGATAAACACTCTACTGAACAGTCAGAGCAGATGAGATAAAACTTTGGGATTGTGTTCCACAAGATGGTTGCACCATGTTACTTTGTTTGAAAGGTGTCAAAAAAATAAACTTTTCATATTTTAATACTGAACTTAGAAGATTGTCTTCTTTAGAACTTCCAAAGTAACTTAGACAAAATATAACAGAATTATTCTCTGTTGTATTTTATAAGTGTTGTTGCAAATTCATGATAATTGGTAAAACAGTGTGACTTCTGTATAGTCAGTACAGTACTTTCTGATTGCTTGGTGATTGTGAATTGATGGGATGAAATTCTTCTGACTGCCACAGATGGTATCAATAATAAAGGAGTTTACACTATTATCCCCTTGTTGACACTGCAAGAGAGTAACAAATCTCCAATTCTCCATAGGTATCACAAGTGTGTAGAGGAGAGAATTAATTGTAACTCTTGTCTAATTTAGGTACAAAAAGGCTGTAGATTTTGAATTTCATAACATTTACTCAAGAGTTGAAAGCAATGTCATTTTTGTCTCGCCTTGAAGGAGTCAAAAAGCGGGACATATGTATGCTGTTTCCGGCGGCGGCGGCGGCGGCGTCAACAATGTATTAGTTTGTGATTAGGTCTAGTTCATGGTGAACCACTAGTGGTAGGTCAATGATATTTGGTATGCAGTTGTATTAGCATTGGCACAACTCATTACCATGGAGATTATTTGGCCTTGCCCCCTCAGTCAAGATCTATTGACTTTGAAACTTTGCTTAGTTTACATGTATTAGTTTGTGATTAGGTCAGTTTATGGGGAACCACTAGTGGAAGGTCAATGATATTTGGTATGCAATTGTATAAGCATTGGCATATCTCATTTCCATGGAGATTATTTGGCCCCGCCCCCTCATTCATGGTCTATTGACTTTAAACCTTTTGCTTAGTTTTCATGTATTAGTTTGTGATTAGGTCATTTTAAGGGGAACCGTTAGTGGTAGGTCAATGATAATTGGTATGCAATTGTATAAGCATTAGCACATCTCATTTCCATGGAGAATATTTTGTCCTGCCCCCTCAGTCATGATCTATTGACTTTGAAACTTTTGCTTAGTTTACATGTATTAGTTTGTGATTAGGTCAGTTTAAGATGAACCACTAATGTTAAGTCAATTATAATTGGTATGCAAATGTATTGGCATTTGCAAGTTTCATTTCCATGGAGATTATATAACCACACCCCTTAATTATGGTTCATTGACTTTGAAACTTTTACAAAGATTACAAGTTAATGTTTGTGTTTAGGTTTGTCGGATTAGGGAACGACTTATGAAAAGTCAATGGTATTTGATTTGCAGTTGTATTAGCATTGGCACATCTCATTTCCATAGAGATTGTTTAGCCCTGTACCTTCAGTCATGGTTCATTGACTTTGAATAACTTACATGTTAAAGTTTTGCTATTTAATTTCAACATTTGCATTATAAAAATAACAAATTGGCGAGACATATCTTTGTGTAAACAGTTTATTTATCTAAAAGATATCTGCACATTTGTTAAAAAGTACTTTTAATTTTGTAGGTGTTATCCCCATTCTACATATTCCAGTTATTTAGTTGTTCTGTGTGGTATGCTGATGAATACTATTATTATGCTTCCGCTATCATCCTAATGTCAGTCATATCTATAACAGTCACTATTATACAGACTAGGCGGGTAAGTTTTGAGGTCATCATCATCAGTGATAGCGTAGAGGTGTGCAATTGTTTAGTAGCTCTCTGTAGTACACTGATGAATATACATATCTATAACAGTCACTATTATACAGACTAGGCAGGTAAGTTTGAGGTCATCATCATCAGTGATAGGGTAGAGGTGTGGAATTGTTTAGTAGCTCTCTATAGTACGCTAATGAATATACATTTCTATAACAGTCACTATTATACAAACTAGGCAGGTAAGTTTGAGGTCATCATTATCAGTGATAGAGTAGATGTGTGAAATTGTTTAGTAGCTCTCTATATTACGCTGATAAATACTATTGTTATGCCTCAGCTATAGTTCTATTAATGTCAGATTTATATATAACAGTCCTATTGTACAGAATCTACAGGTAAGTTTGAGGTCATCATCATTAGTGATAGGGGAGAGGTGTTGAATTGTTTAATAGCTCTCTATGGTACACTGATGAATACTTGTATTATGCCTCAGCTAGTCCTTATGTCAGTCATATCTATAACAGTCACTATTAATACAGACTAGGTAGGTAAGTTTGAGGAGGTCATCATCATCAGTGTTAGGGGAAAGGTATACTAATGATCTCTACTATTATGCCTCAGCTATGGAAATAATATCTTTTAAATTTATAACAGATTCATTATTTAGTTCCTTCATCTGAAAACCATCCCTATAGCTGTATGATGGCATCTGATTAGGGGTGTCATTACAAAGAAATTGCTTCTCTGTGAAACTTTTATAATCATAGCGGTCTTTTTTTTTCAATATGAAGGAAGGATATTACTGTGTTATACATTTTTAATGATAGCTTCTTTATTTACATTTGTTAGAGATGTTCTTGTTTCTTTAAACATTCTGAGTAAGAAAGCCAGTTTAAAAAAAAATAAAACATATGAATGTAAAACAGATGAGATAATGAATCAAGTACTCTCCTGAGTACAGACTGCAAAATCGCATACGGCTCTTTGTATGATTCTTGAATAGTGCGACACAAATGTCATAATATTATACACAACTTACTCTGTAATGTTATGGTCATATTTTCTGTATTATATAACAATAAATCCTGTTAGAAGTATTCAACAAATATATTACCCTTGATTTCAGATGCAAAAAGCTTTGCGGAATACGATTGATTCCTCCAGTATAGTTACTGTTTGTAGAGGTCGTGATGGTAAGTACATCACTAATGGAACATGAAGTGTACACATTAACCTTCTCGCAAATTTGGCCTTGTTTACGCTTAAAAATTTCTTCAGAGTCAGACAAGCCATGAACTATTTCCAATCTAATATTGAAAAATGCAAAACTTAGATTTCAATTTGGAGGAATAACGTTTCCTTGAATTCAGCACCTTTTGATGTCATTCATTTGTGAATATTATGGTTTATTGCGAATTTTCATTGAACATTGATGTTGTTTTAATACAACATGGAATATAAGAACACACAAGAGAAAACCCAATTAAACAATGTATTAATTAGATAGGTTCTTTATGTTGGTTGAGTAGGATGAAAAAAGAAAGTTTAGACTGCCATTGGTAAAACACAGGGTATTATGATTAAAATTAGAATGTTTGTCTTACAATAGGTTACCTAGAGACTTCGATTAAGAATTTTTGCAAGTTTTCTTTTGTCTGCACAGAGTGTGGCACACTTACATTCACTATGGAAATTAGGATCAAGGAATTATTGTCTCCCTTTTCCTTGTTTTTATTCCAGTCAGCCACAAAAGATTTTTTGAATGCAAATCCACTACATATATGAATACATGATGATGACAGAGTCACTTCATACCATGACATGATTTTTGTCGAGCCTGCGACTTTTGTCGCAGAAAGCTCGACATAGGGATAGTGATCCGGCGGCAGCGGCGTTAACTAACTTCTTAAAAGCTTTATATTTTAGAAGGTAGAAGACCTGGATGATTCATACTTTGTATATAGATGCCTTATGTTACAAAGTTTCCGTCTGTCACATGTCCATTGTCCTTGACCTCATTTTCATGGTTCAGTGACTACTTGAAAAAAAAGTCAAGATTTTTGTAATGTTAATTTCTCTCTTATTATGAGTAATAGGATAACTATATTTGGTATGTGCGTACCTTGCAAGGTCCTCATGCCCGTTAGACAGTTTTCATGTCCAACTGGCAGGTGTCATCTGACCTTGACCTAATTTTCATGGTTCAGTGGTCAAAGTTAAGTTTTTGAGTTTGTGTCTTTTTTTCTAATACAATATGCAATAGGTCAACTATATTTGGTGTATGGAAATCTTTTATGCTGTACATGTCAGTCTTGCAGGTTTTATTTGACCTTGACCTCATTTTCACGGTTCATTGCTCAGTGTTAAGTTTTTGTGTTTTGGTCTGGTTTTCTTAAACTATAAGTAATAAATCAACTGTATTTTTTGTATGGAAGGATTGCAAGCTGTACATGTCTGCCTGGCATGGTTCATCTGACCTTGAACTCATTTTCATTGTTCATTGGTCAATGTTTATTTTTCTTGGTTAAGTCTGTTTCTTAGAAACTATAAGCAATAGGTCAACTATATTTAGTGTATTGAATGATTGTAAGGTGTACATGTATTTCTCGTTTGGTTTATATGACCTTGACCTCATTTGCTTGGATCATGTTAAGTTGATGTGATAGTTGTAGTAAAGCTTTATATTTAGGACTATCAACAGAATAGCAATGGTTAGTAAAGAAGGCGAGACATTTCAGCGTGTGCACTCGCATTTATTTGTATATCAGATTAATCTTTGGGGATTTCTCAAGACCAAAACAGGGACTCCTTTTATTTAATATATCAATGAACCCATCCATAACCGGAAAATCAGGAAAATCAATCATCTTTTGAAATGGCTGGTTTTAAAAAAGTGTCTGGGAAGTGGTAAAGTATGTTTGTTTTCCAGTATCAAGGTTGATGTCTTATGTAGCCTGAAAGGAAATTTGTAATTGTTTTACGTCTAACACAAGTTTTAATCAAAACTGTACATATTTTGCAGAATACATTGAAATCTCGTCTGAAGATTTAGTTCCAGGTGATGTGATAGAAATACCAAGAAATGGGTGTATCATGCAGTGTGATGCTGTATTAGTGGCAGGCAATTGTATTGTCAATGAAAGTATGCTGACCGGTAAGAATTGAGTTACGGGTTCCCAATTTACTGTAGGCTAGTAAGTATCAATATTTCCAATGAAAATAAGATAACAGGTACTTATGACATGAGTATTAGGCCCCAGGATACAGGATTCAGACAGAGCTGTATTTTCAGACAAAATAATTTCATTGGTAATTATGGCTGAAACAGCAGGTCTTCAGAACATATGTATTGTTAATGAAAAAGGTCTGAGCAGCTATTACAACCTGAGTGGCATGTATTCATGTAAAAGTTTCAAAGTCAATGAACCATGATCAGGGGTGGGGCTTTATAATCTCCATGGAAACGATACTTGCAAATGCCAATAAATTTGCATCACAAAAATAAAGTTGCTTCTTATATGTGTAGGTAATTTCTGAAAAAAATCAATTTGTAATCCTTCAAAATGTTAGATTTTAAATCCTTTGATTAATTTCTGGAAATATTAGCGTTGAGGTGCTTTAAGTATCAAATTGAGGCAATTTTGGCCAAAAATAGCTGTTTCAGGTTGGATTTTGACTGAAAAAATGAACGAAATCACCAGTATACAAAATTTTGTTGTTTGTATTTAATTTTTCAGGTTTGGCATAGAATTCCACAGGAGATTTTATATTTTTAAAAGCAAACCTGAATGAAATCAAAATATAAAATTGAGAATGGAAATTGGGAATCTGTCAAAGAGACAACAACCCGACCATAGAGCAGACAACAGCCGAAGGCCACCAATGGGTCTTCAATGCAGCGAGAAACTCCCGCACCCGGAGGCGTATTTCAGCTGGCCCCTAAACAAATATGTATACAAGTTCAGTGATAATGGACGTCATACTAAACTCCAAATTATACATAGGAAACTAAAATTAAAAATGATACAAGACTTACAAAGGCCAGAGGCTCCTGACTTGGGACAGGCGCAAAAATGCGGCGGGGTTAAACATGTTTTTTGAGATCTCAACCCTCCCCCTATACCTCTAGCCAATGTAGAAAAAACAAACGCACAACAGTACGCACAATAAAAACTCAGTATAAGAAGAAAATATGTTTTTTGTCTTTTTACAGGTGAAAGTGTACCAGTAACAAAGACCCCATTACCAAATACTAAAATGTCTAAATCTCAAGACGATATTTTTTTCAACATTAAGGAACATTCTCGTCATGTTTTGTTTTGTGGCACTCATATCATTCAGACCCGTTATTATGGAACCCACAAAGTTAGAGCTGTTGTCTTGAGAACAGGTATATTGTATTCCAACTTCAAATCATCAAGTGATACTGTTAGACTGAATGATGTCCAGTTATGAAAAACATATTAACAAGGAACTAAATGATTTTTCTGCCTTTCATACTTAAAAACTTACCAACTGATAAAATCAATTGAATTTTTATAGGAATTATTAATTTTTTTTTTAAATAAGTCAGTTTTACAAAGAATTGACCTAAAAATTAATTTGAATTCAATTTCTTATATATACTGTATGGAACTCTAACGAGTAGAATAAATTTTTCCAACAACAACATAAATCCGAATAAGAAAAAGTGCTTTATTGTAATGCAAATGAATTTTGGCCAATTTGTGTCGTCAAGACGTTTTAACTTGCCATTAATGTGAATATTCATTTCCTATTAGGTTTTACAACAGCTAAAGGAGAACTTGTCAGATCCATCATGTATCCGAAGCCAGTAGACTTCAAGTTTAACAGAGATACATACATATTTGTTGGAGCTCTGGCAGCCATTGCTGGTATAGGATTTATCTATACAATTGTATTGATGGTAAGATATCTATAATACAGCCTAAGTGTATAATATAAATAATAATGCTAGAGAAAATGATCTTATAGATCCTTTCACTTGGACCACATGCAGTTTTGGTGTGAGTGGTGGAACAGTTGTATTTTTTGTAAAAAAAAATGATGTTTTGGGTATGAATGTGCCACAGTATTGTCATAAATTTTGACACATTTATATATTAATAGCTCAATTTTATACATCAGTGCTTTTGTAGTTTGACACATTTTATATGTTGAGCTCAATTTTACACAACAGTTCTAAAAAATTGTAATATTAAAAGATTAGATTTAAGTGCCTAAGAATCAGAGAGTGGTGAAAACATGACAAAAAGAACCCACTCAAGTTTACATTAATTTAAGTTCAGAATATATAGTGGTGCACAAATATAACATTTGTTTCTTTTTCCTGCTCTGTTATTTCAAGATATAGAAATTTCCAATTAAGGGAACGAACTCCGTTATTTGCTATCAATCTAACTAAAAGTTATCTTCACATTTCTCGAATTACCAGACACTCAGAAATGAACGATCTATCATTTTTAACTCAGGAGAGGGTAACTTCAAAATAGGATGGTTAGATCGGGAAGTTTTATATTGCCTGATTCTTAGAAAGGCTGACAGTAAATGCATAAATCCCTGATTTCTTCTGGTTTTATTGTGAAATCGTCACATATTCACATTATCCCATCTGATTTACCTCAATTTGGTTTTAAATTAAATGAAGACACTGTGTGACCCATAAAGCATTCTTAAGTTAAAGAAAGACATTCATGTTGTAGATATTTAGACATTGAAATAAGGAATTCTGTGAGAAGAATTTTTTTTTCTCAATTCCACACATACTTCATACATGCACTGAAATAGATGGCTAGTTATTTAATTTTAATATGTTTATCTCCATTATTTATCTGAATTTAGGTACAAGCAGGAGAACATCCATCAGACATTATACTTCGTGCCCTTGACCTGATAACAATAGCAGTGCCACCAGCCTTGCCAGCAGCACTCACTATTGGAATTGTGTTTGCCCAGTACAGATTGAAGAAACAACTTGTATACTGCATTAGCCCTAGAAGTATCAATGTCAGTGGCAGTATCAATGCTTTCTGTTTTGACAAGGTACGTTAGTAAGAGTGGTCAAGATTGTTATTTTAGAAACTTGATTTATAATTGTGAGTAAAAAGAGATGTGGGTAAATGTCAATGAAACAAAATGTTAATAAGCTATATAATACAGGGATCCAGTTTCAATGAATATCATTTTATGAAATATTTTTATACACAGGGTAGATGGCCTTTAATTGTGCTGTGCTGTTGAGTTGCCATATCCTTTATTCATATACATGTAAATGTAGCAATTATTTGAAGTTCGTTAAGAGTTTTATGTACACGTAAAGTAAGTGAAGTTTGTTGAAGTGAGATCAAAAGTTTTGCTGTATCAACTTTTTGTTGTGCAAGCAATACAGTTAAAAAGTCACAGTGGATTTATTCCAACATTGTATTTATTCCACAAAATATTTATCTTGTGTGAATCATCCACTAGAGATTTTACAGTAGTACATAATTTCTTTTCCTAGATAATATATGCATAACAAATTAAATATAATGCAGAGGTTTTTTCTCGTGGGAAATCTGTCAAAAAATGGGGCTAAGTTACAAATTTCATAAAGTTTATACATATATCTTATGGTATATTTCCCAGAGATCAAATGAAAAAGAATTTTTTTTTCAGACTGGTACCCTTACAGAAGATGGCTTGGATATGCATATAGTTGTTCCTATGGAAAATGACAAGTAAATATTAAATTTAGACAGAGATAGTATTCATTTTAATTCTTAACATAAATTTTGATATACAAAGAAAAAAAAGGAGAATACCAGCAAGGTACACTTATAAAATTTTATCTCAGACAAATTTAGATAAATAGTAATGGGGCTCCAGTAATGTACCCCCTTAGGTCACAAGGTCACTTATAAAATTGCCTCAGATCGAGAGGTCACTTTTAAACAAATTTAGAAAGTTGGTTTTGAACATTTTTATAGGTCACAGGTCCTTTAGATGAGAAGTCAGATCGCAAGGTCTCCCTGTAAACCCCCAAAGTTGCAGTTCGGATTCGACCATATTGGAGCCACAGTAGCTGGTGTTAATCTTTCTTTTATTTTCTCTGAGAAAGCCATTCTTTGATTAGTAAAATTTAACAGAATTTTGATGACAAAGTTTAGTCATCAATTTTGGTATATTTATTATCTAAGTTGTGATTCCTTAGTGTCTGCATGTTCTAGGTTTTATGTTGATTCAGTAATGTTATGTAGCCTATAACTTCGATGTGAGTGTCTAAGTACTCGTTCTGACTATACATACCTGAGCTGTTTGTGTATTTTTTTGTTGCTTGCCTGATGTCCAGTTGCAAATATTTTCATGCATATTCAGAAGAAGAAGAAATTAATAAATGAAATAGGTTATTTTCACAAAGTGGGTCACCCTTTATGTAGGGGGAGGGAATTAAGATATCCGCTGGAAAAATGGTACTGGTACATAAGATAGTAGCATAAATTTTGTTTAATAAACGTTTGATAAACTTACATTTTTATTTTGAAATGCATGTTTTCCTTTGAATTAACTGCTACACATCTATCGCTAAGGGTTATTCCATTTAAATGTATGTGGGAGGGCAGGAAGGGAAGTTTAATCATTGAATGTGGGTCATGGGTCTTTTTTGAGTATGCGTCTATTACCATTATGACAAATTATCTAACAAATGGTTCATGGTTGTAGGGATATTTTGAAAGTCCCTTCTTACCACCCCCCCCCCCCCCCCCCCCCCGACATACATTTTAATGGAATAGCCCTTATCATCTTTTGGATGTTCTCAAGACATTTTTTTAAAACCAGCTAGCACTTATGATATATTTATATTTTTTGTGCATAGCATATATAAGGAAAACTGCTGTTACTGCCAAGTTTCCAATGTTTTGACATCATATTAATACCCAGATACATACAACAAAACTACTATTTAAGAATTAACTTTCATCTGAGATGGTCAAAGCCAAACAAATTTAATGCAAATTAATTGACAACAACCTGGAATCTAAAAAATCCAAAACCTCAACAAATACTTAAAAAGTTCTCAGGCTTGCTTTCACTAAGAGAACTTGAGCCTTAAGATATGAGAAAATTACAAATGTATGCATATAATTTGTGTCCAAAACATATCAACATGGTAGTTCAAAAACTGAAAACTATTGTATTGATGAAAATTTTTTCCACAATTACATCTTAAATTTTATGTATATTCTGTACTTATAATACAGTTTGGACAAGGAGTACACAGACTTGAGTAAAGTGGACAATGACAATTTTATATCTGCAATGGCAACTTGCCATTCTTTAACTCTGATAGAGGGTGTTCTAAGTGGTGACCCATTAGATCTTATCATGTTTGAAGCTACAGGATGGGACCTTATTGAGGAAGGGGAAAACTCGTCCAAGTTTGACATGATTGCACCAACCATCGTCAGGCCAAAATCTGATGAATCAAGATCTTTTGACCAACACTTTAAGGTAAAGAAGGTTTTCAGACACATTAAAAAATACAGGTTCTCTATAGGTTGCATTTCTGTAAATATTGACAATTGGAACTCCTTTTACGGCTAAAACTGTACCACTTTTACTATGAAGTTTCGAAAAAAATCATATCCTAGAATGGAAAGTTCATATGCACTACAATTTTTTTCAAAGGTCAAAATATAGGGCTGTGCAGCATATTTTCAACGTTTATTTGCCCCAAACTTCTCAGAGTTTAAACTAAGACTAAATTTCTTAACTATCCCTACCTTCACTGTAGGATTACCACAGATTTCTATATAAACAATATGCATATGTATACTTACTGGTAACATTCCCAAGTTATGTCTCTATGAGATGAAACCTAGAGATCATAACTGGGAACCAGTATGTAAACAAAATTAATTATCTATGAATATTCTATGTCTTCCCAAAATAGGCGTGGTTTGATAAACAGCTGTATTTACAAAGTGCAACCTATAACTGCTAATTATACCATTTATTCAATATTCATTTCTTTTTCTAAGTCTTATATTAATGCCATAATAGAAATATTTTAAAATACTGAACTTTGCTGGCCTACACACTTTATATAATAATGCTTTACCCTTTAAAAAAAAAGGTCATAGAAATAGTTAATTTTTATGCTGTAGAAACTAAAAACATGACCTTAGATTTTTTTTTTGATGGAAAACAAGTGATATTGAACAGATACCTTATGTTTATTTCCACGATTTTTGACGTGTAGTCAAAAGTATGAAATATTTTTTGCATAATACTGATGGGAAAGGTTTAGTGCAGTTTGTTTTATAAAGTTTAGAGCTCTGACTTATTTACAGCCATTACAGAAGGAGATTGGAATTATACGTCAGTTTACATTTTCCTCCAGTCTACAAAGAATGTCTGTGATTGTGAGAATGTTAGGATCACAACATTTTGAGCTGTTTGCCAAGGGAGCTCCAGAAAAAATAATTCAGCTGTCTAAACCCGAAACAGGTTAGTCATTTTACTTTAGTTGAATAAATGAGGCAGGATATTTTTTATGTTTACAGGAATGGCTACATTGATAAAAAAAAATGTACAAATCTGTAGAAGATTCAATGCTCAAAAATGGTATTAGATTTTTAAATGAATATATTGTTTGAGTTTAAAACTTAATGAAATATTCCCTTGTATTTTATACAAAAGCCTGATTATTCTGGCTGTGTCTTTAGTTTGTACCAATTTTTGTTTCATATTTTCATAGTGAAAGAAATAGATTTGTATGTGTATACATATTTTCAGAATTCCATAGTAAAGATCTCATGCATGGTATAAATAAAAAGTATATTTTTCTGCAAATTTCAGTTCCTAATGACTACCATGACAAGTTGATGAAGTATACACAGCATGGGTACAGAGTTCTTGCTCTTGCCTGGAGACAGTTGCCAGCTAAGCTTAAATATACTAAAATTCAAAGAATTCAAAGGTTAGTCTTCTTGAATAGTAATTGCCAGTTATATTTTTATTTGAAAATTCTGGATTTCTACATATGAATAAAAGGATATGTGTCAGTGAGCAATCCTTTGAAGACCTTGAAAGAAAAAGCAACTAAAAGTCAACAAAAAATAATACTAAAGAGTCCATGCCATATTTAAAGTTCTTCTATGTCCGAAATATAAACAAATAATGATAAAAATCAACAGATTTTACCTTCAACACTAAATTCCTGAAATAACATTACTTTGATTGATTGTTTAATAAGTAGAAACCTTTTACTGTTAATATTTTATACTGTATGCAGTTACTGTAAACCAACTTATTTTCGCGGATACTTTATTTCCCGTTTAGCCCTTTCTAGTGCACTTCACGGCGATTAAATTTCGCGATTTTCTAATTTTCTTGATGTAGTTAGATAAGGAAAGATCCAAGTTTTACATATTTGCATTATTTTTCTACTCGCGAAATTCGCAAAAAATAGTTGGTTTACAGTATTGACCAATTTTAGGCAGCAGAATTATTTTAAACAATATTTAAAAACTTCAATTAACAGGGAACAAGTTGAGAAGGGATTAACCTTTCTTGGATTTTTGGTAACCGAAAATCGGGTAAAACCTGAAACTACACCTGTCATAACACAGCTAAGACAGGCCAACATTAGAACTGTTATGGTTACAGGTAAGTTATATGACTAACAATAGGCAAGTTTGTACATATGTACATTGTGAAATAATAACGCAACTATATTTTTGTACATCAAATTTCTGGAACATTTAGATGACAATAATGTTTGGAAATATCAATAGGCAATGTTCTTTGCTGTTTATTCTCATAGGTTTGTAACATTGGTTAAATAAATTTCACCAGAGAATACTGCTCTTTTGAGATAAAAAAGTAGAGATTTAATGAGTATCTTATATTTACATGAATTTCTTAACATTTAGATGTTACAAAACACTGAAAGAATAATGTACCCTGTATCATTTTGTATTATGGTATGCAGTAGTCCAACTGTACGTCAACATTTCATACAATTACTAAAATTTGCTTAAAGTGACTTGACTTTCACCAGTATCAGTCAGATTACAATTCTACCTTGACAACTAAGTTTATATTTAGCCTAGAAAATACATATTTAGCCTTGAGAATTGAAAGGTCAGTTTATCCCATTCATACAATAGAAGTTTACCTATGAGGGTCTGAATGGGGTTAACAGAATAGAGAATAATAGCAATAAACAAATATTGAATAGAGAAAATGAACAACAAAATAAAGAATAGAGAATAATGGGGTGCAAAAGTATAAAGAATAACTGTGCAAAATAAAAGAATTAGGTAATGCAATACTGATAAAATAAATGAACATGTACAGAATTAATAAATAATCTTATAACAGAAAGATTAAATAGTAAAATCATTTTCATGAGAATTTTACAGAATGAGAGTTATCCAGATAGTAATTATGTTATGAAGTTAGAGTTATAAAATGCATGATGAAATGCATAAATGATAAAATGAATTATCCCCGAAATTTAAGTTGAGAGGCATTTATTAAACTAATTAGGGACGACTAAACCATTTTAATAATAAGAGGAGCTGATTGGTTGTAGAATGATTGAAAATAAATGTAAGCACATTATATAAATCCTCTTGCCAATTCCTCATTCACCCAGATAATCAAATGGTCATCCCCCTTTTTTCGCGACGTCAAACTGCGACATACCGTGAAAAGATGCATTTTTCGACTGATTTTTATCATTCAGACTTATTTAACTTGAAAACGAGTTCATGGACACCTCTTTTTTAAAATGACATTAGGTTTGATTACGTATGAAGATTATTTGTACCATTTTTTATGAAAAAAGTCAATAATGGTATTTTTTTGAATTAGATAAATAGACAGCAAAAAATGCCGTTTTTTTTTCCTAAACCCATGGAACTTTGATAAAAATAAATTATTTCCAAAGAATTTTTATCCAAAATTAGAGCATACTTATGTAAAGAAGATTTTCTAGATGTTTTTACAAAAATCCGCGTGTGTTTTTCTTTTGAAACAAAAGAGTAAGGCATGTCTATCCAAAGGATAAAAATATAAAAAATAACTTAATTTTTGGTAAATTTCTAAAATTTTGACCCCATTTATCTCCGAAATTAGCACATGAAGGTATATTTTTTATTACATATTTGAATTGACTGGGTGAAAAATAGCTTGTAAGCAAATTTTCGTAAAAAAATCAATATGGGATCAAAACTGTATCGTATGCCCTTAACCTTCAATGCACATATTGAAATTCTTTTAAGATAAGTAGTAAAAAGTTATATTTTGTTTCAATTTGTTAAAAAAATGTCTTAACTTGAAACAAAGGCAGTGAAAAATAAAAGACTTATAACCATTCAATTTTAAGACCCTGTTGATGAAAGGTTTTATATTTTCAAATTAATTTGTAAAACATGTATGTCGTGTAGTAGAGGCAGATTTAGGGGGTGCAGGGGACCTGGTCCCCTCTAATGGAGCTTCATATATGATACATGCATAGACATTGTTTTGGACTAATCAATATGCCCACTCTCTTTTTAATCATGGGTGTGTAAATTAGTATGAAGGCTTTTTATGTATTACTAAGCACTGATTTGTTTTGACAGTTGACAGAATAAGAAAAATTTTATACGCCCGTTTACAGGACTTATTATAGCATACCGTTGTTCGTCTGTCCATCCGTCCGTCGTCAACATGTAGGACATTAACTCAAAAACGCTATAACCAATTCGCATGAAACTTTGGTGAATTGTTAATATCTATTGTCGTGAGCTCCTTTTCTTTTTTTTATAAGTTTTAGATTTTACGTTTCCAAGTTTTGGGGTTTTATTCATTAAAAAAAGGGGGATTTTCCAGTTTTCGGACAATAACTCACAAACTCTTTCAGCAATTTGCAAGAAACTTTGGTGAATTGTTTATAGCTATTGACATGAACTCCCTTTCGATTTTTATAAATTTTAGATTTTACGTTTCCGAGTTATGGGGTTTTATTCATTAAAAAGGGGGTATTTTCCAGTTTTCGGACAATAACTCAAAAATGCTTTTAGCAGTTTTCATTAAACGTTGTCGACTGATTTATATCTATTAAGATAACCTCCCTTTAGTTTTTTTTTTTAGAAATTTCTGATATGACATTGAGAAGTTATTAAACTTTATTCTTTGAAAACGCGACAGGCGTATCGTGCACTCATGGCGCAGCTGTTCATTTCACATATTTAAATAAGGGACTAAAAGATCTAAAAAGATGCTACTTTTCATCTTTGAATGTCTGAACAAATGGTTTTTTTAAATTTCAATTTATTCACATCATTATGACGAGTGTAACTCAGAATATATATTAAGGTGTAAACGCAGCTATTTAAATCAATTTTTAACTTGGCATCATTTGTTTTGGATATGTTTGAAGAAAACATAATTTTCACTTGGCATCGGTTGTTTTAGATTACATGTATTGAGGAAAACATAAATTCCACTTAGCATCAGTTATTTTAGATTACATGTATTGAAGAAAACATAAATTTGACTTGGCATCAGATGTTTTAGATTACATGTACTGAAGAAAACATAAATTTTACTTGGCATCAGATGTTTTAGATTACATTTATTGGAGAAAACATAAATTTCACTTGGCATCAGATGTTTTAGATTACATTTATTGGAGAAAACATAAATTTCACTTGGCATCAGATGTTTTAGATTACATTTATTGGAGAAAACATAAATTTCACTTGGCATCAGATGTTTTAGATTACAATAACTGAAGAAAACATAAATTTCACTTGGCATCAGTTATTTTAGATTACATGTATTGAAGAAAACATAAATTTCACTTGGCATCCATTGTTTTGTAGAAATTTGAGAAATAAACAATTTTCGCTTGGCATCTATTGTTTTGGATAAATTGGAGGAAAACTATCAAGGAATATCTTCACTTCTTATTGATATTTGGCTGTGTTGGATTAAGTCCCAAACTGCCTAATAGTATGGTGATATTGGGCTGAGTGGCAGACAGGCAGGTTAAAGTGGATGCCTAAATTCTGTAATCAATTCCTCCTACAGTTTTTTTCCACATTTGGGAATAGTCAAAAAATGGTAAAAGTCCTATAACTCCCATAAAAATTATGAAACCGAAATGACGGTATAATATGGTCAACAACACATGATGGCCAACAATTCTCAGAGGAGTTTTTACAAGGTGTCACTGTTACAATACTAAAAAGAAATAGTCAAAGTTCCATAACTACCATAAAAATTGCCAAATCAAAATGATGGTATAATACAGTCAACTGCACATGGGGAAACAATTCTTAGCAAGTATGAGACCTTCCTCTCAAAAGGTCTGTAAGGATTTGTGTTCAAAAGGTGCTAATGTTACAATACTCTGACAAAATGTCAAAGTCCTTAACTCCAGTTAAAAGGGTAAAATCATAATGACTATATGGTCAACTACACATAATTGCAAATAATCCTACTAAGTATGAGAGCTTTCTGTAAAATGGACTAAGAGGAGCTGCGTTCACAAGGTGTCATTGTTACAATACTAAAAAAAAATGATCAAATTCCCATAACTCCCCTAAAAATGTAAAATCAAACTGACATTAAAGCACAGCCAAGAGAATATATCCCCTGCTGTGTGATGTGTGGGGACAAACAAAATCCTTTAAGGTTCATCATAACAAATAGTCAAAAAATGGATGTGTTTTAGTTTCCAAAAATACTCTATTACAGACAAACTAGCGTAGTTGGAAAAGTTTTAAGGACTAGCACCCACTATATATGTATTTAAAACTGACTGCATTTTGTGTTTCAGAAAAAAATTTTGGATTTTGATGGGCATTTTTTTTTCATCACTACAGATGATGCTAAATAAACAAATACCTGAGTTGCATTTGATACTGTCCACTCAGTTACCCCCTATAGATCAACTATTGTTGTATAGATATCAATTGTCCTATTGTCCATATCAATCAATACAATACAAAACAATTGTTACCTGAGAGGGCCCCGGCATCTCAAAGATTTTACCCAACTTAGTTTATATTTACACCTTCTGCAGGAATGAACAAAAAAATGCCCATCAAAATCCATTTTTTTTTTATCTTTCTGAAACACTAAATGTATTTTACTTTTATATTTCTAGTGGATGCTTGGCATTAAAAATTTCTAACTACAAAGGTTTGTCTGTACGAAGAGACGATTTTTAGGTGCAAACACCGACATTTTTGTCCATTTGTTATGAAGAATCTCAAGATAGAAAGAATTTCAGCTCTCATTTAAAATATTTTGCAACTAAAACACAATTTTAGAATTTTATCTCATGGCTAGAACTGATAAATGTAAACTGCCTTTCAATTTGAATGATTTTCACTATTGTCATTCCAGAGATTTGTGATTTCATTCATGAAAAATTGATTTTTTTTTTTCACATATCAGAATTAACTTCAGTGTGCTTTGAATGTTATCCTCACACTTTACATTTTGTTAGAGATTGATAAAAGGAAGCTCCCTTTAGATTTTGAAAATTTTCTGGTTTGTCATTCCAGAGTAATGGAACTTTAAACATCAGATTTAAGAAAACTTTTTCACATGTACCATTACCTAAATATGCTTCTATGGATCTACTGGAAAATTTCCACAATTGTTTGAATTGATTAAAGTAAGATATCGTTTGATTTTTAAGATATTTTGATATGTCATTCCAGAGTTATGGGACTTCAAGACAATATTTTACGTTGTCACGTACTAGCTCTACAATAAAAGCATAAGTTCATGAATATTAGTGAATATTGTTTCTTGTTGAATATACATTGTTCGACTGTTATCTGCTCTTTGGTCAGGTTGTTGTCTCTCTGACATATTCCCCATTTGCATTCTCAATTTTATTGAACTCCTAAGCTTGTGCAATATTCATGGAATAATATTACCGTGTACAATACAAACTTATTATTATTATAAATATGACATTTACACCTTCTTTCTAGGAGACAACATGTTAACAGCTTTAAGTGTTGCTAGGGAGATTGGTATGGTTCCACCTAAAGAGAGGGTTGTGTTAGTTCAAGGCTATCCAGAATCAGGCAAAACTGATGCTTATTTGGAGTTTGTTTATGCAGAGGAATACAAACAGGAGCCAACAAAAACAGGATCTGCTTCTATAGAGGTATCATAGATTGCTTTATTAATAATGATGGCTATATGTATCCGTTTTTATTTTGTAGTTAGTCCCCACTTCGGTTTTATCATGTATATCTATTATATAGTCATTTTATGAAATTTACTGTTTGCAAAATTATAAATTATTCTAAATAATAAGGATGTTCTTGTCCCAGGCAAAAAACCCTGGCCGTGTTAGGCGCAACTTTTTGGAAGTTTTGGTCCTCGGTGCTCTTCAGCTTTGTACTTGTTTTGGCTTTCAAACTTTTTTCACCTGAGCGTCATTGGTTGGTCTTGTGTGGACGAGACGCACGTCTGGCATATTGAATTTTAAGTCTAGTACCTTTTGTCAGCTATTATTCGTGTGTTTCTTTGTCTTATATGTTCTCCCATTTATTTGTATTGTGGTCCTGTCATGTGATGTTGTCGTTTTGGTGTTGTGTTTGACGTTGCCATTAAGGCGGGAGGTTTGGCATGCCACAAAACCAGTTTCAACCCACCATTTTTCTCTTAAAATGTCCTGTACCAAGTCAGGAAAATGGCCATTGTTATATTATAATTCGTTTCTGTGTGTGTTACATTTTAATGTTGTGTTTCTGTTGTTTCGTTGTTCTCCTCTTATATTTGATGCGTTTCCCTCAGTTTTAGTTTGTAACCCGGATTTGTTTTTATCTCTATCGATTTATGAGTTTCGAACAGCGGTATACTACTGTTGCCTTTATCTATACTGGTATTTAGAGAAATGATATATTGAAAAATGAATTACTTTGTGTTTACTAAGAAATAGGAAAAGTAATAATGTGTGTAAGTATAAAGAAAGAGAAATATTATGTGCAGACAAAGTAATATTACCTACCCCTTGCAAGTAAATTTATTATAAGTTTACCACCACTCTCCTAGGCTCTTGAAATTTGTTTCTAAAATATTTAATAAATGCAATTTTCCCTTTAGCATTCTTTTCTTCAAGAAATGACCTGTACCCCTTGCTTATGGTTTACAGTTACAGATTTTACCATCTGGTTATTGAACTAATTTTTAACACAAATTTAAGAAAAACTTTCCATATTTTTATGCCCCCTCCATAGGCATTAAGTGTTACTGTTGACCGCCCTCCATCCGTCTTTCCGTCTGTCCCTCCGTCCCATTTTCGTTTCCACACTCTAACTTAAGTTTTTCAACTTTTATGAAACTCATACACAATGCTAAGAAGTGAGTAATTTACCGTTCTAGAGTTATGCCCCTTTTTAACATGGAAAATTGCAAATTTTTCAGTTTCCGCACTATAACTTAAGTTTGTCTCATCCAAATTTTATGAAACTCATTTTAATGCTAAGAACCACAACACGCAGACAGAGTGCAAATTTGGGCAGTAAATTAACTTACAGTTCTAGAGTTATGCCCCTTTTTAACTTGAAAATTTGCAAAGCTTGCGCAGAGTGCAAATTTGGTCAGTAAATTCACTTACAGTTCTAGAGTTATGCCCCTTTTTAACTTGAAAAATTGTAAAGCTTGAGCTGGGGCATTCATGTTCTCAGACACACACATTTTTCCTTTATTTTGTGTTGTAAAGGGGGGATATTTTATTAAATACTTTATATGAATAGGGGAGGGGAATAGATACCACTGGTAAATTTATAAATCTTACTTTATATTCATTTTTTTTAATTAGAATCATTCTATTGTAATGTGATGACAATTGGTTAATCCATGAAAAATTCAATCCACTAGAAAACAAAGAAATCTGGTTTTGAATATTTTTTGTCCATTCCAATTTTAAACAAGGAAATCTGGTATCGTTACATGGAATAGTTTATTTGAAAGTCCATTTCATTTTCAAACATGGAAACCTGATATGGAATAGTTTATTTAAAAGTCTATTCCATTTTTAAACAGGGAAACCTGATATGGAATAGTTTATTTAAAAGTCAATTCCATTTTTAAACAGGGAAACCTGTTATGGAATAGTTCATTTGAAATTTTGTTTTTAAACAGGGAATATGGAATAACTCATTTAAAAGATCCTCCCATTTTTAAAGAGGTAAATGTAGTAAGGGATATGAAGACCATTCCATTTCTTAAAAGTTGAATAAGACTTTGTAAATCTGAATGATGTTAACAACAGAGTAGTCATGGTAGTTGTTTAAGATAACTGTATACATAACCAATTCATAAAGTGAAAGAACCAAAAGAGTTGTATTCACATACTGATTTACTATTCACTCTTGATAGTGTTAGTGAACAAATCTTGATAATAACTCTTGTGCTGAAAACTTTGTTTCAAAATCCAGAATTGTGTTTACTAGTGAATAATATTTGTAACTGTTAACTGATAAATCTGGCATTATCATCTATTAATATTAATAATACTTCAAGGAGTTTTGCCGTTTGTTATAATTGTATAATGATAAATTTAATGTATCACTGACAGAATAGAATATTGAAGTAGTGAATTTTTAGGAGTAAAATATATAATATGAAGATAAAAAGGCGACCTTGAAATCCTCAATGACACTGTCAAGTCTTTCGATATATAGCTCTGTTGTTTTTATTCTAAAGATTACAGAAGAAATGATTGCATTGACCTAATTAGAAAGAGAGTTTCTGTCTTCATCCCTGGTTTTATTACTTGTATAATGATTAGTTTGCTTTCTCGAGAGACTCAGGTTTTTCGGAATTGATGTCATGACAAAATAATTATACTTTCACAAAGAAACTTATTTTGTCATGCAATAGATGTTTCATTATAATACTATATTCAAATTGAAGAAATATTATGAAATAGTCTTTCCACTGAAAGAAATATTACAGTATATGTTTAACGGAATAAATAGTATAAAAATGTTTTAATTGGAAGAAATAATAAATATAGCATTGGTTCAAATAACAAAGTTCCAGCGGAACTTTTGTTAGAAAGAACAATTATACCTTGACGATTTCACCAGAGGTGTATCATATTTTATAAATGTCTTTTTAAGATTGTGTTTTAAATAGAGGGTGTTTTATTTTTCTATCAAAATATAATAGTTATTTAATGTCATACTTGATTTAAATAATTAGAAAAATATCCTTTTGATCCTCCTCGGTTGAAGAAAAAGATCATAGCCATACACATTAATATGCATATTTAGGACGAGAACATGTTAATATAAAATGAATATTAACCCTGCTTTGTACTAGACCGACATTCTGAGTCGGATGTTTAACGTGCTAGTTCGCAAAAGACATGTCACCTTACCCGGACTCATTATTGCGACTCCGAGCCGACCAGTTTTTGCTCTTACTCCTTAATGCCGCGTGTTTAGCAGAGAAGCAGCAAATACCAATTTTAAAGTCTTTGGTTTGACCCGGCCGAGGTTCGAACCCACGACCTCCCGCACTCGAGGCGAACACACTACCACGAGACCACTGTCAATGTATATTTGTTCTGCCTAACAGAAGTTCCACTGGAAACTTTGTTATAAACAATGTCATAATACCTGTTCCTGTTAGAACAAATATTCTATACCATTTATTCCGTTAGGAACATATACTGTAATATTTATTGTAGTGGAAATAATATTCCAGAATATTTTTTTCCATTTGGAACCAATATTATGAAGGAACTTCTATTTCGTGACACCACCAAGGTGTTAGGGTTCAAAAAGACAATTGCCAAAGTATTCTGTATGGATGAAGGTTCAACACTTAATTACATCATGTACATTTTTCTAATTCTGTTCTGTCAATTGTCGTTACAGGAAGTTACAGTAGACATTTTACCAAGGGATGATGGAAATACTTTCCATTTTGCTATTGATGGCCGTTCTTGGTCAGTTGTAAGGACACACTTCGATGATCTGCTTCAAAAGGTTGGTGAAAATTTCTTTGAATAAATGAGTTATGTCCCTTTGGACACATGTTTTCATTAACTGCATATATATTTAGCATGACTGTCAGAAGCTCATACTTATGATGTATATAAATATATGTTATAATATTGCCAATGAGACAACTATCCATTTAAGACCAAAGGACCTGTGATTGTATTTAAAGTATATTTTTTTCACTTAGTCAAAAGTGCCAGAGTGAGCTGTTGTTGTTACTATATATCCGCTATCCATCAATGAACCTGTTAAGGTCAAGTTACAGTCAATGGGCTATGTCACAGATTTTGGTAAAATTTGGCATACAACTTTGGCTGGTTGAACTATAACTGAAAATTAAAAAAAATTACATTTACCTCTTTTATCATCTGAAATATTACTGATTTAGAAAGCACATGGAATCAGTGAAAAAACTTAGAATCATTAAATCTCTAATTTCGAATACATAGATTTTTCTTGAATAACTATATGTTGTTGATTTTAGTGGTAGGTCAATGAACATTGGCATGCAGTTGTATTAGCATAGACACATCTCATTTCCATATAGATTATTTGGCCCCACCCCTCACTCATGGTCTATTGACCTTGAAACTTTTGCTTTGTTTACATGCTAATTAAAGTTTATGATTGGATCAGTTTAAGATGTATTAGCATTTGCAAGTCTCATTTTCATGGAGATTATATGGCCCTCCCCCTCATCAAGGTTCATTGACTTTGAAACTTTTACATTGTTTAGAAGTTAATGTTTATGTTTTGGTTTGTTTAAAGGGAATGACTTATGATAAGTCGATGGTAATTGGTATGCAGTTGTATTAGTTAATTTCAACATCTGCCTTATCAAAATAACAAAAAGGTTAGACATATCTCTGTGTTAACAGTTTATTATTTATGATTTCAAGTCAAATTCATTTCTGGAATATCAAGTCCTGTGTCTTATACACTTTGGTGTGTCACAGTGAAGTCTTAAATTGTACTTTCATAAATGTGTATCGGTTTTTCTTTTTCAATAGTTTTGTCTTTCAGGGAACAGTTATTGCTAATCGTGGTGTTTGTTTGTATTAATATTTAGATGATTGTTGATCAAGAAAGCTATTGCTAAATTTAAAAACATGCATATAATAATTGCAGTGTCATCTATGAGTCTTAGCTTTTAGTCTTTGTATTTCTATTGCAGTTATGTGTAATGGGAACAGTATTTGGTAGATTTTAGCATTTGTATTTATATTGCAGTTATGTGTAAGAGGAACAGTATTTGCTAGATTTTAGCATTTTTATTATATTGCAGTTATGTGTAAGAGGAACAGTATTTGCTAGATTTTTGCATTTGTATTTATATTGTAATAATGTGTAAGGGGAACAGTATTTGCTAGATTTTAGCATTTGTATTTCCATTGCAATCATGTGTAAGGGGAACAGTATTTGCTAGATTTTAGCATTTGTATTTACATTGCAGTTATGTGTAAGGGGAACAGTATTTGCTGGATTTTTTGCATTAATTTTGTATTTATATTGCAGTTATGTATAAGAGGAACAGTATTTGCTAGATTTTAGCATTTGTATTATATTGCAGTAATGTGTAAGGTGAACAGTATTAGCTAGATTTTTGCATTTGTATTTATATTGCAGTTATGTGTAAGAGGAACAGTATTTGCTAGATTTTAGCATTTTTATTATATTGCAGTTATGTGTAAGAGGAACAGTATTTGCTAGATTTTTGCATTTGTATTTATATTGTAATAATGTGTAAGGGGAACAGTATTTGCTAGATTTTTGCATTTGTATTTATATTGTAATAATGTGTAAGGGGGACAGTATTTGCTAGATTTTAGCATTTTTATTTACATTGCAGTTATGTGTAAGGGGAACAGTATTTGCTGGATTTTTTGCATTAATTTTGTATTTATATTGCAGTTATGTATAAGAGGAACAGTATTTGCTAGATTTTAGCATTTGTATTATATTGCAGTAATGTGTAAGGGGAACAGTATTTGCTAGATTTTAGCATTTGTATTTGTATTACATTTATGTGTAAGAGGAACAGTATTTGCTAAATTTTAGCATTTGTATTTTCATTGCAGTTATGTGTAAAGGGAACAGTATTTGCTAGATTGTAGCATTTGTATTTATATTGCAGTTATGTGTAAGAGAAACAGTATTTGCTAGATTGTAGCATTTGTATTCACATTGCAGTTATGTGAAAGGGGAACAGTATTTGCTAGATTTTAGCATTTGTATTTCCATTGCAGTAATGTGTAAGGGGAATAGTATTTACTAGATTGTAGCATTTGTATTTATGTTGTAGTTATGTTTAAGGGGAACAGTATTTCTATGATTTTAGTATTTATATTTATATTGCAGTTATGTGTAAGAGGCAGTATTAGCTAGAATTAAGCATTTGTATTTATATTGCAGTTATGTGTAAGGGGAACAGTATTTGCTGGATTTTTTGCATTAATTTTGTATTTATATTGCAGTTATGTATAAGAGGAACAGTATTTGCTAGATTTTAGCATTTGTATTATATTGCAGTTATGTGTAAGGGGAACAGTATTTGCTAGATTTTAGCATTTGTATTTATATTGTAGTTATGTTTAAGGGAAACAGTATTTCTTTGATTTTAGTATTTATATTTACATTGCAGTTATGTGTACGGGGAACAGTATTTGCTAGATTTTCTGCAGAACAAAAGGGACAATTAATAGAGACATTACAAGAATTAGGGTAAGATTTCCATTTATCAGTCGGTTTAGCTTTAAATTTTTTAGATATCACCTTGTTTTTATATAAGATCATCATGTGGAGCTACAGTTGATTCTTCTTTTTCACTGCGTTGTGGTCCTTGAAGGTAGAAATTTCAATGATTTGATAGTTTTTTTGTGTTTTTTTCTAAATGTGGTGTTACAATTATTGTTATGGTCTGATTCTTCTTTACGTAATTATGATTATAGCAACTTATTAGAGAGTAGTAGTTTACTTTGAAGTTTTGTTTAGGTCCAATTTTTTTTCACAAAGTTCGTTAACTTTATATAATAATGTATGCATGGAGTATAATTGACAACGGTGAGGTCAAACAGCATGATGAAAAAGGCTCCACAAGCTAAAAAGGTTGCCTTTTACTTTCCACTTAATTCAAATTTGTTATGATGGTTTTTTTCAGCCATTATTTCAAAATTCTTTGTTGGAAGTTAACCTAAACAACCCTATGAATGATGGGTCAGTATTTATTTTATTAAATTTGGGTGTTTAAGACTGAATTAGAATTTGCATCACTATTAATGTCTAAAATGTATTGCATTACTTCTTCACATATTTACCATTGATTGATTGTTGTTCAATTTACCTCCAGTGGCAAATATCAAGGAATGCTAAGATTACACATAAAAGTCCAAGAATATTAATGACAATTTTATTAGTAACTTAAATCACAAGGATGATTAAAATATTATTATGTTTTATTTTACCATACTGGTTTTAGACATCTCCCTGGAAGTCATGTATAGTTTTTAATGCAAGCATATTGGATTCCTTTTAAAAGATGGAGGAATGTTACATTTCACATGTTGACATATTATTTCAGTTATTTTGTTGGGATGTGTGGAGATGGAGCCAATGATTGTGGGGCCCTGAAGACAGCACATGCAGGGATATCTCTCTCTGAGGCAGAGGCATCAGTTGCCTCTCCATTTACCTCTAAAAAACCAAATATAGAATGTGTTCCTACGCTTATCAGGTATGTTAACATTATTTTAGTCTTACAATTATTTATCCACTATGATCTTTGATCAAATTGTTTTTTAATACATTGCAATGAAAATATAAATTTAATGAACATATAATATAAATTGTTTTTGAATTATGAATACTTTTGTAAGATAAATGTATATTATAAATATATACATGGAACGTTACATAGGGTATGGTAGTTGCACTTGTTGAGAATGATATGCATTTATTTATTATAAAATATGAATTAAGGTGGTACATAACACTACAGGGAGATAACTCTGTAAAAATCAGTTGAATGTTTTAATCACGTTCTAGTGTTAAGGAAATATTAAGCTTCTCAATGATCAGAACCAGTGTTTTCAAAGTGCTATATTTATCCAATGAAATTTTTTTCGATAAAGTGTGTGGTTCAAATTTTTAGAATTTTTATATTTTTGTCAAAGGGTCAAAGCAATATTTTGTCAAAATTTAATGAAAATTAAACGAGCAAAATTAATTTCAGTCAAGGTGTTTGGTACCACCTTAAAAGAGAGAAAGGGATATAACAATGATATAGCACCCTAACAATATGTTAAGTTTTGCATTTTATAAAATTTATTTAATTTTATGATGTATATAGGTTTAATAAATTTGATAGAATGAGTTACACTTTATATGAAATTGAATTAAATATTATGATTACGGAATTTTTTTTCGTAAAACAGTGATGTTTCCTACTTTCAATTTTTCCCCATTATCGGTTAATCAGCATGTCATTGTTTGCTCCTTCTTGCATGGGTTTGATCTAATTCTATCAGCAATTATGATAACTTGATACAGCATCTATTAAAACATGCTGTAAACTCTTCTGGTACAGACAAAACAGCCTAAGTTAACATACTGATTGAATGAAAATAAGTCTTTGGTAAATGGTTATATTGCTTTATAGCTAAGCATGTATTCTTAAGTTCTAAGATTGTTCTATTACAATCCTAGTTGCAAGATATATGATTGAAGATTGCTATCCTGCATGTTTAATAACTTAACACAAATGTCTTTCCTCTATAATACCCTTTAGTGAAAGGCAAAATAAGGAAATATAAAGATTTATCATTTCAGCCACCTCTGCCTTTTACATTATTCCTATAACTAGATTGGTAACAGATTAATTTGAAACTGGAATAAAAGAGACATGGTTTTAATGATTTAACTTCAATTATCATTTTGTTCAATTTTTTTCTCATGAAAAAAGCTAAAATTAATTTCCTTTAAACTCCTGATGCAAAAGATTTCTAAGTTTGAAAAAATGTGTTCTACTCAAAGTTGTATATATTTATGTATGTTGTGTATGTAAATCCTGCTTTGATAGCGTCTGTATAGAATAAAACATGAATTAAGGTGGTACATAACACTACAGGGAGATAACTCTGTAAAAATCAGTTGAATGCTTTTCTTCTTCCCTCTATAGAGAAGGTCGAGCAGCGTTAACAACATCATCTGGAATCTTTAAGTATATGGCTTTGTACAGTTTAATACAGTTTATGACAGTTTGTATTTTGTACTGGGTAAGTTGTTTTTATTTTTGTGTACCAAAGCTGTCTTCTTTTAATTTTACGTCAAGTTGTAAAAGAAGAAAAAGTTGGAAGCTACAAATTGAGGTATAATCTCGCTAGTAAACTTTAATCGAGAACCTTATTTTCAAAAAGTTTCGTTGAATGCTTGAAAATAATACACCTAAATTAACAGTTAACAGTTTAGTTTCGTCTAATGATTTTAAGAATGGTTGAGAAATTTGAAGAAATTTCAAATAGAAAGTAGATTTTTACTGAATTTAATAAATATTGTAAGAATTTCCTAGGATTAAAATACATACAATATTGTTTCTTCTCAAATACTAGATTTGAATAGAAAAATAATCCTCCATATTTGAACAAAAAATTAGCCAACAAGAGAGCTTCTAGATGGCAACTTGATGTGAAAATAAACCAAAACAGCCATGAGTAGGAAGTAATACCAATATTATACAGACCATAATTCATTTAAAATTTGGCATAGGGTGATTTTCAATAAATCAAAATTATGGTAAAAGAAAGATAGTTCCATAAACTTTTTTGTACAGTACAGGAATTTCTGAAATTAATGTCTGGTTAGGGAAAGCGAGAAGAAAAATATTTGTAACAATGTAAGGGAAGTGCAAAATGAACATCTATTGCAAATTATTTGACAAATATGCATTTAGTTGTAAAAATTTAGTTAGTTTTTTAAAGTATCCAGTTTCATGGGAGCTAGGGTCACAATGCACTACTCATTGCATCAGAAGTGCATTTAACCAAGAAAGGAATATTGTGGTCACACTTTTTTTTTAATCAATCAGCAGATATTATTTAGCATTTGTGATTATTGCTAATGATATTTGAACACTGATTTTATATTACTTACCATAATTGAGTAATCTGGGTTTTTTTTCACTAATTAATGCGTAGGGAAATGGTTGAGGATTTATAAAATCAGGGAAAGTTTTAAATGTCAGCTGAAATACCTTGTAGCAAATGCCTTTATTGATAATTCTCTAATATTTTGATTAATTAAGTGTGGTGTAATAATATTTGAACATTTTTTTTTAATTCGTACTGAATCATGATAGTTAAGGACAGCAGTGCTTCTGGTCAAGTAAAATCCATATGATCGCTTTGAGATTTTCAAAACTTTTATTTAAATATCCTAGTAATATTCACCAAGAAATTTTACATGTTCTGTTACATTTTCATCAATTTATACCTTTCTCCATTCTATATTTGCCTCTGATTAAAATGAACAGGTTCTTCAAAGTAAGTATAATATGTATTTGATAATGCTGACACTTGTGTTTTTCGCCTAAAATCCTGCAGTTGTAACTTTTACAACCCTTGGAATATACTGCTGCAACATGTTGTTATACTTGTCTGTGTCCTGGTGCAAGATACTGCATGGCATGATTCGTTACTTACAAAAGTACCAAACTGATTGAATCTCAGTAAATCTTTTAATGACAAAATTCACCTAGGTATAACCTTTTCTTGGAACTGATCAAATTAGTTAGATTGTTAAGTTTATCTTCTATTATGAAATGCTGTGAAGAAACATTTGGGTCACTGTGACCTAAATAACACGATTTTTGGTTTAATTTTTGCATTTAGGTCCTTTTCTCTGAAACCTATGCCAATCTATTATGCATATCAAATTCAGTGCTTTTGTATATGAAAGACAGGGTTCTGGACACTTTGATTTACTATGACCCAACATTTTATGCCTTTGTGATTGTGTAAAGGTTTTAGGGGGTAATTGTGTAAAAAAATATGATAAGAAACCAAGGATATTTCTTCATTTCAAACCTTTTATATAAAACGAAGCATTTTAGTAACATTTAAGGCACTGTGACAAGAAATTTACTAAACATCTGAATGGTTTTAAGTCACATGTCCAACAGTTGTCACAGCATATCAAATTGCTAAACGAAACAAACTGACAATATTTGATTTTTTGCAAAAAATAGGTATTTTCTCTTATAAATCTTATCATATTTTGTCATATGTATGTAGTTAAAAAAAAAACAAAGAAAAATAGGGAAAAAAAGACATCATAAATAGAATAAAATTTTAGTTTTTTATGAAGATTTAAATATTAATGTCTGCTGTGACACAGAGAGGGAAGAGCATGTTGGCAGATATGTATGGGATTATTTAAATGTGCAGCTTGTTTTAGTCTGACAGAATTAACATCTGTTTGTATTCTCAGATGGGTAAGTTTTCATATCAATTATTTTAAAGTTAAATTGAGAGGTTTTCTACAGAGAAATATGTACAGTAATGAGTTTAATTAATTGAAATGCTTCTGATTTTCAAAATTTTGACTTTTAGTTTTCCCTTGCCATTTCTAAATATAAATTTGTCCTTGTTCTAATTTTCATGGTTCACTTTTGTATCATGAATAGATGATCATTCCATTTACTGTAAACAAACACATTTTTCGCAAGTAAGTTATTATGCAAAGATGGCTAGAAAATACTAAGCAAAAAAAAAAAAGAATCTATGAAAATAATTTGATTTACAGTTCTATGAGTAATAGTTCTTAGAGAATCATAATTGTCTTGTTGACATGATGCACTCATAATGCCCTTAACCATATTGTCATGCTGTTATATTAAGCTCAAGTCTAGTGTTTCAGTCATAGGTTTTATTTAAAGATTTTAACAATCAAAAACTACATTTTGCCTCAATTTTGTTGCTTTTCTTATGACTGCTAGAAAGTGCAATGCATTTATTCAGTGCCCTTAATTCATTATCCAAGTCTTATATGGTCACAAAATATGAAAAAAAAAATCAAATTCAGTTAAAATTTTCTGGAATATACTGCATATATGTTTATTACCATATTTAGTCTTTAGATTCATTTTATGGGATGCAAATAAATCTAGCAGGATTAATTGTCCTTGACCTCATTTTCTTTGTTCATTGTTCCCAGTTGTTCTGAATCATTTAATAATAAATTGATCCTATGGCTAAAACATTGGACTTAGGCTACATGTGTTGTATTTATAATAATTTAGAAAATAAATTTCTTTTTGAACAATCTCCTTTAATTACCCGGTATACATATTTTCTTAGTTCAGTCATCCAGATTTGGTGACCAGGTGATATGTTTTATTTACTTGTGAGTTGTAAGTTACAAGAACTTTTACTTAAGATGTTTTTTCCAAGTCTTCCAGAGAGTCGTCATTTGGCCATGGTGACCCCAAAGTCATAAAGTTTAATATCCACAGTTTTAGGTCCCTTTGTTTTTATGCTCTCAAACATTTTATATTTTCGTCTTTCTATGGTTTTTTTTCATGGGTATACCTGATGACGGTTATTCCAAAAACATGTGTTGAACGTAAAGAAATAATATTATATCAATTGTTGTTTTTTCAGAGATGCTTGTGATTAATTTCATGAGCTATCTTGACTTGTCAGAATTTCTATGATAAGTTTCAATGCTGTCAATCATATATGAGTAAACAATTTAATCAAGCTTTTGTATTACAGATCTCTAACAACTTGACAGATTTTGAATTCCTATATATAGATCTGTTTATACTTACCACACTTAGTACATCATGTAAGTATATATATTGAAGATTGTTTTAAAAAAAAAATGTTTATTATGTAGATGTCTGTTATGAAAATATTGCATTGTATTTAAATTCGTAATGCCTCAGTATCACAAACGTTTTGACTAGCATGAAATGTATGCAATAGTGACTTCATGCTACTTTTTAGAAAGATAAATATGTTTATAAGTAGTGTGACATCATATTTTTCAATTTTGAATGTTGTTTTTTGTTTTGTTTTTTTTAGCTCACCTGGCCAAGTGAGCGTTTCTCATCACTTTGCGTCCGTCGTCCGTTAACTTTTAGAAAAATTTTCTCCTCTGAAACTACTAGGCCTAATTTAAACAAATCATCATTGGGGTATCTAGTTTAGAAAATGTGTCTTATGAAACCGCCTGCACACCAAAATGGCCGACATGGCTAAAAATAGAACATAGGGGTAAAATGCAAGTTTTGTCTATTATTTTGAAAACCGTTATAAATAGAGAAAATCTGACAGGGTCAAAAATGTTCAGAATGTTCAGCTCTACCAGTTGTCCAAGTACGTCAAAACTGGCAGACGACTTTTTATAGGAGTTATTGCCCTAAAATGACAAATATTACCATTTTTTCATTTTGCCTATTATCTTGAAACTATAATAGAGATAAACTTTAAAATGCAAAAAAAAATCAGCAAGACAAGTTCTACTAATAAGTCTCATGATTGAATTTGTCAGTTAGCTCCTCATAAGAGTTATTGCCTATTGATATCGATTTTTACCATTTTTTTTGCATTTTTGCCTTATTTCTTTAAGCAAAAATGATCAGCAAGACAAGATATACAATTATGACAAATGGCAGAAATCGTTTGACACTTCCTTATTGGAGTTATTGCCCTTTAATGACGATTTTTAACATTTGTTTTGCGTTTTGCCCTATATGATGAGGATTTTAATAGATAAATAGACACTTTAAATCACAAAAATGATCAGCAAGGCAAGATCTACAAGTCAAATTTTGCCGATATAGTAAGTAATCTGTCACTCTTCCTAGGAGTGATTCCCTTAAATAAGGATTTTGTCACCCTCTTTTGTGTTTTGAGCAAAAACTTAAGAAGATAGAGAGAAACTAAACAGACTAAATGATCAGCAATACAAGATCAACAAAACAGAGATTTTTGTCATGAATTCTGATCTCTTCTACAATGTTGGAGTGTCCTTTGTTGAATATGCACATAGACCAAGGTGAGCAAAACAGGCTCTTTATAGCCTCTACATTAAATTGATATAAAGAAAAAAAAACAGTGAAACACAGGCATTAGCAGATTTTGATTGAATGCAGTATTCTTAAGAATAAAAAGGCTCACAGAGTCAGTTTTCAAAGTGTACTCCACAGGTTTTCTGAATGTAATTGAGGTCATTACATTGCTGTATGTGATGTCCCAGACTTTGAAATATTGATATTGAAATTCTATTGGAAACATTGTTACTTCTGTATAAGCGTACTGGTTTTGATAAGTGTTTCATTTGTGTCGTGTTCGTACTAAAAAACATGATGTAATTATAAGATATTGGAAGTTTTGTCATTAAATTAAAAATTCATTAATAAAAATTATTTTGAATATACAGTTGGAGCCACTGGAGCCTATGGGAAATTACATCCAGAACCTCCACTGATAAACCTTTTTAGTATTGGACCAATCCTGACTCTTATTTTACAGACAGGGATACAGGCTGCAGCTCAGGTTTTTGTCTACCTCAATGTTCAGAAACAACCATGGTAAGTGAGATGGTGTTTGGAATTCTGCAGTGTACAGTAAAACATACATCAGTATTCCAAATGAAAAACCAGACAGTTTGGTTGGTAATGTGATACTTCTTTTAAAAGATAAAAAGATGATTTGATATTCCTGGAATTCCTCATATGAGGGAGATTTAATACAGATAAATGGGTGTCTTTAGCCTAATGGGCATGGAAATGGATTAAGACATATGTAATAGAATTGGGGGAAGGTCCCCTCCCCTTAAGGAGCTACTTAAATGGTTAATGTATAGACTTTTTACAAGTCCCACTCCTAAAGTTGCCTTGCCGTTGGGCCCACTTTTTCTAAATCCTGGATCCGTACCTGTGTTATAAATGATTTATTATTATTTAAAATTCGTCCTCATCTTTAACATGAATATTATATTTCCTGTGTACATTAAGCAACCAAAAAGCAACAATTTTTTATTAACTTTCAGGTTTAAACCATTTGTTGACAATGAAGACGATGCCTATGAAAGTTACGAGAATGCTTCTGTATTTCTGATATCATCATACCAATACATTATACTAGCTATTGTCTTTTCAAAGGGAAGGCCATACAGAAAGACTATTTTCTCCAATTGTAAGTAATTTATTATTAGGATCATAGGTGTTTTGGACGCATATGGGCTAGTTAGCTATTTAAGGGAATAATTGTTTGCCATTATAGTGAATGTAAACTTAAAATGAAAAATTGAGAAAAAAAAGTCATTTTCTTTTTATGAAACATTGTGAATAACAGAATCTATGTTAAGGAATTGTAGAACATTATTCATTGCAAATATTTACTTACACAACAACCATTAATCCCCTATGGTATTGGTCCAAGACCCTTGCAGAAGCGATTTGAGTAAACTCTATTTGAAAATTTGGAATCATGAAGTTTATTGGTGTTTGAATTTTTATTCTAAATAGGGTTTAATTGATCAATAAAAATTATTGACAATAAAAAAAAAAACTGATATAATTAAAAGTGCATAAAGTTAATAGAGCGCATGACCTTTATAAAATGTTTCTATTGTAGGTTTTTTCCTTGCCAATATCATGTTTTGTTTGGTCTGTATACTATATAGTTACACTTAAAACGGCTGGAATTCTTTATAGAACTTTTCTATTGTAGATTTTTTCCTTGTCAATATAGTGTTTTGTTTGGCCTGTACAGTATGGCTACACATAGAACCACTAGAAATGTTTAGAGAGTTTATGGAGGTAAGTGTGCATTTATTCATTATTTTCAATGCAAAGTCATTTTGCAGTATAAAGGTGCCTTTCCATCGATCTGGTTTCATAGGGTTCCAACCATTCCTTGAAAAGTGGAATTTAATTGTAGTTGTACCCAGCCTTGAAATGTCTTTTTGTGTCTTCTTGAAAAAAAGATGGATGAGCTGGATAAGTGTTTGGTTTTTTTTAGTTTTTTTTGGAGGTGGGAATTGCAAAAAGAATAGAATTCTATTGAAATACTTCATTGCTTCTGGTCTCATGTTTTGTTCCCAGCTTGAAAACACTTGTTACATTTTATTAAACAAGCAGCACATCTCTGAGAGGGAAAACTTTTATACTTGCAAAAATGCATGACTATGACTTCTAAAACATCATGCCTAAACGCCTATTCATGTATAAGACTCCATTTTCCTATACGAATAGTTTCCAGTGTTTAAGATACTGGCATTTTACAGGAACATGAAGTTCTTGTAGAGTTCCATGCTTTTTCTCTTGGTTCTTTTCTCACATTTCAACTGCTTAGTACAAAAAAAACAGCTTAACACCTGCATGTAAAAAATACTTTGGGACAAATATATTTGCCGTTGTAAGTTACATAATTGTGTTAAAGACAAGCATGTTGCATTCAGAATCATATGTTTGAATGGACTAAGATATCCTCTTTTATTCAGTTACACCAGTTAAGCCGTTATAATATCCAGTTCAGAATATGATCTCATATAAAGCTTACTTCATTTAGGTTAAAATGTTTCGAGTCTAAGATGCTTCAAATAGAAGTTTTTCTAAAATAAATCAGCATCTCCTAGCTATTGATATTTGTACTCTGAAATATGATAGCATGACGATCCTAGTAATAAATACTATTTTTGTTTTGCCCTTATATATTATTTGCATATTTATATTTCAGTTGGCAGATATACCTTCTATGGAGTATAAACTAATTTATCTGGGAATTGTTGCAATCAACTTTATTCTTTCGTTTTTAGTTGAAGTAAGTATAAGGTTTCAGACCACCAATTCATTCACTCCAATTTAGAACATATGTAAAAGTAGCCCTTCCCTGATAAAAAATAATGCTCTTGGTGTCATTGTTTACTTAAACTAACCAACAAATTTGCAGAAATGAAACTTTTAATGAAAAAGAAATATATTTTGGCCATTTTGAGCCAACATTTACTTGTCCATGTGTTTACATTTAAAATTTATGATTAATGTGCTCCATAGTATACTTATTTAAGATTTCCAGAAGACCAGAGGTTATTTTTAGTAGTAGTTGCCTTCTGAAAGGTTGTGTTGGTTGAAAATTGTCATGTAGAAAGGCAATACATGTACAATTCAGGATATACCTGATTTCTATGAAGTTAAACTTAAGGTAAAATATTAAGAAAGCTGTGTAAATTGAAAAACATGGCTGAATAGATTTTTAATTGGTGATCTGAATATTTAAGTAAATTTTGACACTAAAGGGCCACAACTGCGACAAACAATGATTCAGAAATAATTGTTGCCTTTTTTCTACAGAAAATTACTTTTGGCTGTAGAAATCATTGGCTTTTGTGCACAGTTTCCTACCATTATACTGATAAAAAAAACCCATGTATTTTATCAAATATACAATGAACATACATTAATGTATTATTTTTTGAAGGTACCCAGCCTCCTGACCAACGTCTTGAACATCAACAACTGTTTTCCCCTTGAAATTTGTCAGCCATTGAAAGGATTAAAAAAAACTAGGTTCAATGTACCAAGCACAATTGAAGAATATTTGTTTTGATGATAAAAATTTGTAATTTTTTTGTCTTTACATCAAATTTGTAGCACAAATCAAATCAAGTTAATTTATTCTTTGGAGATGGGATATGCTTGTTTTCACAGAAGATTGTTTTGAAGTAAATGTATTTATAGAATATTATTTATGCAAACTTCATTTGGATACATCTTTGACTTTTTTCAGATTGAGTACTGTGTATTTATTATTATTTGTGGGATATTCATTGATTTCGTTTGAATAGATGAAGCATGAATTTTTAATGTTCATTGAAGTAGAAATTTTCTATAGGCCTGTTTGCAGACTTTTGCAAAGCCACAAAATTAAAATATCCCCCAAAAATTCGATTTTTTTCTTAATTCACAAAAATTGTACCCAAGAAAATAAGTGAATCCACAACGATCAAGTATTTGTTTGTTGATTTCATGAGTACCTGTATACTAGTTCTTACTTTTGTTTAAATTGACAACCATAGATAGAGAATATCATATGGCTTTTTCAAAATCACATCCGTATCAACCCGTGACACCAATATAATTCCAAGAGCTCTGCTCGAGGGATTATATTGGTTGAGGGTTGATACGGTGTGTGATATTGAAACAGCCATATCATATACACTTTATTGTATATACCTCAAGTAGATGTTTTTATGTGACATGACGTTATACAGATTAGGGGTTTGGTAAAGCCTTTGAAACAGTGACTGATATCGATGACGTGACATCATACAGATTAAAGGTGTGATAAAGCCTTTGCAACCGTGACTGATATCGATATCATCATGGATGGCTGATACAGCACGATTGCCGTTGACCATATTACACATACAATTTATCTCTATTTACTACTAAGTATATAATAAAACTAATTATATGCTAGTTTGACCATGATTGTATAGTTAAAGATATAATGATAAACAAAGAATTTATTTATCAATTCTTGATAAAGAAATATGTGTACATGAAGAAAATTAAAGTTGTTCTTCATCTCAAAGTGACAACAAGGCCTTAAACATGGAGCAAACACCCTCATCTGATAGCTCTAGATAGCCCCTAGCACTAGTTGAGCAAAAATCTTGGCTCAAGTGGATGGTCCTTATCTGTGCATTGAAGAACATAGCTGTTTGGTAATATAAAAAAAATATGTAATGTAAAAGAATCATAGTACCAAAATGTTATTATAAAATAATTCTTGCCTTAGATTATTTATAGCATTTCTGTGTCCCATTTATAAAGTATTTTTTAAATTTTCAGTCATATTTCTGTGACAGCTACTTAATCAGCAGAAAATTACAAGAAAAAATCAAAGAGAATTTCTTCAATAGCCAATTTAAATACAAGGCATTGGAAGAGGAGATTTGTCAGTCGCCTCACTGGCCACCTGTTTCTTCCACAACGGATCTTGTTGAAGTTTTCCAACGTATGGACAGTGCAACATCGGTAGACATTGATCGTACTAGTTTAATGAGCAGTCTGGCAGACTCTGCAAGTGAGACTGGGTCACTCAGAATCAAAAATATGGAAATCACAGCAACACTTGACACCCAGGCAAGCATGGCCACACTCGACACACAAACATCTACTGTGGATGACGAAGCACAGCTCGTTGAGGATGGGGTAGATAATCCTGGATTTGAGGAAGATCAGCCTGATATTGGCTTACATTCTACAACTACCACAATTGTATAATGAATCCTTAGGAATTTCATTTTTTGTGTGTAATTATACATTATTTGAATGGTTAATTCCTGGTATCCTTTTTATATATTATTTAAAGTTTTTATAGAAACAATTATATTGTAATAAAATGCTTTTAGGCATATCTAGAGGAAAAATCAAGAATGTCATCAAGCTTGAATAAGTGAAAATAATACAAAATATATACTGTTCTTTTTTTTTTAAATTTCATATTAATTTACAAGATATTAAAGTATAAAGTTCGCTTGGTGTGTAATGCTGTATATGTAGGTGCATTAAGCATTTCACTATATGCAATTTAATCGTGAAATACAGTATCCTTGGTGCATTAAGATATGTATTATGTCTCCTAGATGTTTTTTTAGGTTAAAATTGGTGCAGGCTGGCTTTTTATTAATTAAATTTGCTAGTTCCCAAAATAATATATGACAAACTTCATATTATATAACTATGTATGTATTATTCACTATTGCATAAATAATTACCATGAAATTAATAAACTTGAGTTTTGTCTAAATTTAAGTTTCTGTGGAGAGGTGTGTACAGGCTATGCATTAGAAACTGTTTAACACCATTTGATGCTTATTATCTAGAAGAGAAAAAGTACATGACATTCAGTAGAAACAATGTCAATTTCTGCATGCATCATAATTTTTTTTTCTAAACACTGATTTTTTTTATTTCTCTAAACATCATCAGTATTATTGTGCACTGTATTTTGATATTAATAGAAATGTGAGTTTTTTTGTCAATGAAAAAGCAACCAATAGACTTTTGACTGGCACAGGAATAGAAAGTTTAAGTTGTTTTATACGACCGAAAACATTTTATTGGGATCGTATAATGGTATGATGTCGTCGTCGTCTGCGTCGTCGTCCGAAGACACATTGGTTTCCGGAAATAACTTTAGTTTAAGTGAATGGATCTCTATGAAATTTTGTAAGAAGGTTCAATACCACAAAAGGAAGGTTGGGATTGATTTTGGGATGATGGTCCCAACTGTTTGGGAATTAAGGGCACAAAAAGGGTCCAAAAAGAAGCATTTTTCTAGTTTCAGGATAATAACTTGTGTATAAGTATTTAGATTGCTCTGAAATTGTACCACAATGTTTAATACCACAAGTAAAAGATTGGGATTCATTTTAAGGGTTATGGGGCCAACAGTTTAGGAATTAAGGGCCAAAAAGGGGCCAAAAAGGGGCCAAAAACAAGCATTTTGCTAGTTTCCAGACAATAACTTGTGTGCAAGTGTATGGATCTCTCTGACATTGTAACATAAGGTTCCATACTACAAAGGAAAAGCTGGGATTGAGTTTTGGGGTTATTGCTCCAAGGGGGGTTTCAAAAATTTGGGGGGGGGGGATTTTTTTCCCAATTTTTTAAGGGATTCATATTTTATTTCAAAATTTTTAAAATTTGAATTTTTGAAAAGTTTCAAGAAAAAATCTTCAATTGCACAGTATTGTGCAATGAATTTATACGATCTTTGACCACATTTATTTTGTGTCAGAAACCTATATTATGTCAAAAATTCAGACAGTATCAAGCTTGAATAATGTGTCCAAATTTGCCCCAACTGTTCAGGGTTCGACCTCTGCGGTCGTATCAGGCTGCGCTCAGCGAAGCATTTTATTTTAGCATTTACAAAAGACTCATTAGTGAAGCTCGAATCTAAAATTCAAAAGTTAAAAGGCCAAATAAGGTACAAAGTTAAAGAGCATTCGGACTCAAAATTGTAAAAGGTTTTACCAAATACAGATAAGGTAACCTTTTCCTGGGGTAGAACACCCTTGCTATTTCGAACCTTTCAAGTTTTGTAAACAGTTGAGTTACTGAAACCTGCAATGATCTCAAAGCACTTAATCTAATGGTTTGAAAGGAAAGAGTTGAAATTATTTTCCAGTTCGATTCATTCTTGCGAAAATATGTCTATATAGAAATGCATGTCTTTTTCTAGTTTTTTTCCCAGATGTTGAATGGCAATTTTCATACATTTCACCTGTTCTTGTTCTTAGTAGACAGATTCTGTATATTTACTCAAGATTTTGATTGTACATGCAAAACATGAATATTGTTGGCACATTTTTATAGATATTAACCATTTAAATTCACTGATTTTAGTTATGAAAGTCTGTTTCATATCTGTTGTGATTATTTTATATGTTTATATATATGTACCGGTATAATATATTAAAATGTAGCTCCCAAAAATATATTCTTAGATTTCTTTGTAATTTTATATAAAGTTTTTGGTATATATTTTAATAAAATGTAAGATCTGACTTTATTTAGTTTTTGTCATATCAAGATTACAACAAGAACTCCATGCCCAGCTAGCACTATTTCATTTCAATGTTGAGTGAACCATGAGATCTAGGTTTAAACCCCAATTTGGCATATACATGTATATTAAATATTTCTTCATAATAAACATGTGGGCTAAGTTTCACATTGATGTGACCAGAAACTACCTCAAACTAAAACTTCAACTTACATTTCCATTTTCAGTGAACTGTGAAAGCTTGGAAATAAACCTTGTTTTGTAATAAATATTTAACATTTCAACTATAATGGGCATCTGTACTAATTTTCATGTTGATATGACCACAAGCAACTTATACCAAAACTAAAACATGATAATGGACCAACAGATGCTCAAACCAGAAAACATAATGGCCTTTCTATCTTAGGCAAGGCACTTATTAACAGATAGCCAGCCGACCGTGCAAGACCCTCGTGGGTAGTCAAGGTCGTTTAAAAAAAGCTTGTCATAATAAACAGATATATAGGGCCATTCACAATTCACAATAGCTCTCTGTTGCTCAAGTACTTGTTTAAAAATTGTGTAGCAAGGCATTTTTCATTTACTATTTTCTTTGATTGCTATATGGTGGTCTTAATCTATCATTGGTTATTTCTAAAATCTTTCACCTTTCACCTCGAGTCTAGGCTCCAAGATCACCAGAGGCTATTAGTAAGTGGTCCTCCACCACTCTTCAAATTTTTATCACTTCCTTTGTATTTCCATAACAATTTATGATTTTTTTTCAGCATTGATAATTATTTTTGAGATGTTATGAGATAATTTTGGAAAACATTTCTTAATAAGAATAATTTTCAATGGTTATAATAATTATTTTATATGCTCCTTGCACCTTTGAAAATTTTTCTGTGGTGATCCCTGAAGACAGTCAATCCTCTGTATAAGGATGACACATTTTTGTGTTTACCATGCATCTTTTAACTTATATGATTTAAATCAGAATCTACTTGAGAAATATTCAGACAACTTATTTTTGTCAAGGGAAATAACTCTAATCCGATGTTTTTCCAACATTTTCAAATGAAATAAAGTCACAAATTTCATTCTGAATTTTTTTTTAAAGATTCGCAAATATGGAATAATTTCAACAATAGTGAACAATAATTATTTTTAGCTCACCTGGTTTAAAAGATTCGTTGAAACTTCAAGGGAAGATGTTTCAAAATTTTATAGGATTGATGACTGTGAAATTCTTTAAACTATACTAATTTATTGTTGAATGGATGGCAACCATGAAGGGTTTGGTGGCACATAGTTCCCATTGTATATCTGTCACAACCTGAAACCAATAGATAGGCCAATGTGAAAACAACTTGGGAAGAATGATTTGTAGAAAGACCTCTACAAACTACCCTGATTTCAAATGATGAAAAACATTGCTACCAGAGGCTATTGGCCATTTTTTAAAAACACTACTTCTCTGATAATACAAGAAATGTTATGAACTTTACAGAATTGATGATTGAGAAAACCTCTACAAATAATTCTGTAATGTTGATTGGATGGCAAACATTGTGGCATTGGTGGCAATTAATAAAGTAGTTCCTTTTGAAACTCAATGGAACATCCCATTTTTTACCTCTTTTTCTGAATCTTCTAGACAAAATTCTACTAAATCAATCAGGAATATGATGAGAGATTTTTACAAAACTCTCGTGTAGTATTGAATAAATGAGGCTGCCAAAGGCCAAAGGCATTCTTAGATTCTGAACAATTTAACATCTGAAAGAAACAAAATTCAAAACTTTGTATCGAGTTTGATATATCAGGTGAGTAATACAGGCTCCCTGCAGGGGCTCTAGTTTGTCAACCTTGATAGAAAGTATTTAATAAAAAATAGTACAGGAAAATTACCTGTACTGATAGTACATAAAAAGCTGGAACAACCCAATGGATGTATAATAGTATGATAATGATTTAGACATGCAATGTACATGTTTGTAAAATTACCTTCATGAATAAGGTAAGCTCGATGCCAACAGTTGTGAAAAATCAAATAGAGGCGTTATTGAGCATGAAGCACTCGTCTGGTCAATCGGGAATCAAATTATTTGCAATATCGTTCAAGCCTCCATCAACGATACAAAACAATTCATATGGCTGGAACCGTAAATTGAACCCTTAAACGAATTATTGCTCATAACCTATGAATAGTACCCAATCTTCACTGATGATTTTTGACAGACTGACAGACATACGGTCACGAATACATAACCTTTGAACCATGACAATGAGGTCAAGACAGGCAAAACATACCAGCCAGACGGACATGTATACCTTACAACCGTTCTAAACATTACATAAAGCTGGCCTATTCCTTATAGTATATGTTATAGTATATGAGAAACAGACTGAAACACAAAAAATAATAACATTGACATGAACCATGAAAATAAGGTCAAGGTCATATAAAACCTGGCAGACTGACATGTACACCCTAAAATTATCCCAAACACCTAATAAAGTTGACCTATTCTCTATACCATGTGCAAAACAGACCAAACCACAAAAACCTGGGACTATTGTACTGTTAGTTTGATAGTCCGACCCAGCAAAAACGTAACACTGACCCATGAAACATGAAAATGAGTTCAAGGTCAGATGAAACCCGGCAGACAGACATGTACACCATACAATCATTCCATATATGGCCCAAATATGGTTGACCTTCTGCTTAAAGTATCTGAGATACGGACTTGATCACGAAAACGAAAACTTGATCACTGATCCATGAAATGAGGTCAGAGGTTGGGTAAACCCTCATTTTATCTTTTGGACATATAGACCTTACAAGGAAACCATACACCAAATACAGCTTTCCGATAACTCGTAATAGAGGTTTCCCGATTTGCTACCGTACAAACCGTAGTACGAACTGGGAGCCGTCATGGACCTTTTGAAGCTAATTAATATATACACTCATGATTTTAAACTAGCCCGTTTACAGTTCCTTGATCTTGATCAGAATTAAAATCTTGTACTAGTAAACATATGTAGTTTTTTTTTCTCAATTGAATTGTTTCATAGTTTTCATGTCTTGACCTTCTATAGCCGACTATACGGTAGTGGTTTTTCTCATTGTTGAAGGCCGAACGGTTGTCTATAATTGCTTACATCCACTACATTTGAACTTTGGTGGATAATTGTCTCATTGGCAATCATACCACATCTCCATATTTTTATATGTAATAATTTTGCTTTAAAATATTAATCTTACCTGAGACTATACGTTATAGTAGCCTCAGGTCTTACTAAAATGCTGAAAGACTTATACTTAAATTACTTAAATATTTTCCGTTTTCGTAATATGATGTATTTAACCAGGGACAGTCTATAGTATAGGCTGTCCCTGATTCAAAATATAAACTTAATCTTAGGTACTATTTCAACCATTAAAAAAGAGCGCTATAATCTATTTTTCATGTTAAAGATTCCCCGTAGATTACAGTATCTGGAGGTATACTGTAAAAATACGAAATTTAGAAAATCCGACCACGGGAACTTACGACGACAATCATGATTGTAAAATTATTAAACCATTATTATTATTGCAATTTTTAGAGATAGTCAATATTGATTTATTCATAAAAGACTAGACCTATTTGAATGGTTTTACACTAGTCCTTTTTGTGGCCCTTTATAGCTTGCTGTTCGGTGTGAGCCAAGGCTCCGTGTTGAAGGCCGTACTTTGACCTAATATATGGTTTACTTTTACAAATTGAGACTTGGATGGAGAGTTGTCTCATTGCCACTCATACCACATCTTCTAATATATATAGACACCGCTGCACTCTTTGATCTGCCCACTGCCTTCAAATATTTATTTTTTTATTTTTCGTCAAAGTGTAAGCTGCTGATGAAACATCTGTCATCTTTAATAATTGTGTATGATTGATGATACAAAGATTGCATAAAACTATAAAATGAAAATTGATTTACTTATATTATAATTTATCCAAATGAAAGGAAATTTAACAAAATGCTTCGCTGAGTGCAGCTGGATACGACCGCAGCGGTCCAACCCTGAACAGTTGGGGCGAAAATGGACACAATATTCGCGCTTGATACAGGTCTGAATTTGGATTGTAATTAAATATTTGACACATAATAGGTTTCTGACACCGAATAACTGTAGTCAAAGAACTTAGAATTTGTTATATGATTTGAATTTATATTATTTTTTTTTGCTTTTGTGCAATACACTATGCTGTTGCGAATTGACCCCCCCCCCCCCCCCCACCCAACAAAAACAAAAAAAAATTATCCCCCCTTTTTTTTTGCTTTATTGAAATACACTATGCTGTTGCGTATTGACCCCCCCCCCCCCCCTTTTTTTGGCCAAAAAAAAATATTTGAAGAAATTTTCTTTTTAATTTCTGAAATCTGAAATGAAAAAAAAATTGCCCCCCGAAATTTCTTTTTTACCCACCTCCCCTCCCCCTTTTCCCAAAAAAAATTCTTTCCCTCAAGATATGGTGATAAACTCAATTCAAATTTCCAATGGAGTTTGCAACCATAATTACCAATTTAAATACATCATAAAAGTCTTAAATAGATAATTTAAAAGCAGTGTAAGGGAAGTAATCCAACATTGTACAACATTGTACAATTTGGTTTTTGGATTACCTCCCTTACACTGCTTTTAAATTGTCCATTAACCAGGAAACCCTTGTTTTTTTCCCCCCTTTTTTGCCCCTAATTCCTAAACGGTTTGAGCCATACCCCCCCCCCCCCCCCCAAAGCCAATCCTAACCATCCCTTTGTGGTATGAAAACTTGTGGTATGATTTCAGAGAGATCCATACACTTAAACACAAGTTATTGTCTGGAAGTTACAAAAATGCTTATTTTTGGCCCCTTGATGGCCCCTTAGTCCTTAACTGTTGGTATAATAACCCGCAAAATCAATCCCAACCTTCCTTTTGTAGTATTGAACCTTATGGTAAAATTTAATAGAGCT